TAAAATGTCCCCTAAATGTCAATCCTAAATGTCAACCCATGTCTTACTATTTTTAAACAATGCTGTTTGTTGACCAACTTGTATATTGGCTATTTTCTACCATGTTCCTCCCTGTTTTATCTTTTTTTTTTTCTTTCAATGCAATTTATACTTTAAGCTCAATTACTATTAAGTTTTAGTCTAAATGTTTTTTCCCCACCTCACCTTGCCCAAAATGCTATGCGTGCTAGTGGCTTTAGATATTGTATGTATTAGCTCTATCTTTAAATCCAACATTATGTTTGTAACTAATCCTCTATGTATGTACTTTTATCTGAATAAACATTGATTTGATTTGATATTCAAAGAGAGCGACTTAACCGAACTAGAAATGCTATACAAATCAAGGGACCAAGAATGTGGAATGGTCTCCCCAATCATGTCAAAGGCTGTACCTCTCTCAATAAATAATGCTGTTTGTTCACCAACTTGTACAATTGCTGATTTCTGCCATGTTCCCCCTTTTTTATTTTTTATTCCTTTTTTCAACACAATTTATACCTAATCCCAATTACTATTAAGTTTTAGTCTAAGTGTTTTTTTTCCCCACACCTTGCCTGAAACGCTATGCGTATTAGTAGCTTTAGGTATTGTATGTACTAGCTCTATCTATAAATCCAACATTGTTTGTAAATCAACTATATGTGTACTTTTCCTGAATACTTTTCCTGAATTTATGACCTCGCAGGCACCTTTGCAGCCCCTTGTATCACGTGCAGGCATTATTCCTGGTCTTATTAGACTAGCGGAGAGGCTTGCCGGGTCAGACAATCAACGATTTGTTAAGGAACTCAACGCACTGTACCTAGCCAACAGCCTGGACCCCATCATTCCCCGGATGCAAGTCTCACTGCCTCCACTTCCACTCCGCAGACTACCACCAAGACGACCACAAGGTCGATCTCAACACAGACTCCAGAACCACCCAAAACCTGGGCAGCACAAACAAGAGGTATTTCCCTCTCCATCTCCCAACACTCCTATTATTACCATCTTGGCAGACACGCTAACGACGTGCTAGCAGATGTGCTGTCTACAAATACTAACTTAACCACCAATGCTCCTGAAATAGTTTCTATCACTAATCCACAACACCTGAGCCTACCTCAGGCTGCGAGACTAAAGACGAAACCATCAACTACGGATGTTACGGACTCCTCAGACGAGGAAATCTTAGTAGGAGCTCCACCGCCGCACCACAAATACGACGTCTATTTGGTACAGGACTTCCTCATGGAGGCCATCTCGCCAAACTCCAATGACAGCACGGCTCAGCCTAAGTCTCTGCCAAAGAAAGAATGGAAGACTTGGAAGTCTACACTAACCCCACCAGATCCATAACTGGTACAGCCAGCTCTCCAAGGCTGTAATCCAGCATGAAGACCCAGCCATTCCCCACATGTCTAGTATCAGCTATTGATGCAGCTAATGGTTCCAAAGAGCCTCCACTTATGGGTTCACCATAGCCCGTGCTACTTTGAACGTTTTGTTCAGAGTAGTTGAATCTAAAATAACATCCTTTCTCCTGTAGCATGTTGATTTCAGTATATGCTACCGCCAATCGTTCAGGGGCCAGGCGGCATGATCTAGCGATGGTAGGTGATCCCGTCGTACTAATGTGATGTGTAATAGTATGTTTTACTTGTGGTTGCAGGCTGGCTCGAAGGCACCTGCAGATCCACAATAGGCCGATGGTGTTATGATGTCAGATACTTAGAATAGTGTAGAGTTTGAAATGGCGGGGTTACTGGCCATTAACAGTCCCCGAGGGAGTAGTTTAAAGACCAGGAACATAGAGCTGCCCCAACAGTTGTGGGCTTGGTGTCCAAACATCTGGTGGTAAAAACAAAACTCCCTTCGGTGTCCTTCCGGTCGCCTAGGGGGGGCCCCATGCTGTATTCTCGTGGTATGTACTAGCCTTATCTATAAATCCATCACTCTTTGTAAAATCTCTTGTATGTATGTACCTTACCTAAATAAACATTTTGATTTGATTTGATTTGATATGTATGTCCTCCCTGGACAGAGGAGACACCAGCTCTGGAGGATGTAGAGTTGTTGGGTGTCTATAGTCTGCTGTGTATCACTGGGTGGGACATCGTAGTGTTTTTGGACATCGTATACAGTCGTTTTGCCAGTGTATCCAGCTGTACTAATGGGGTGTCATCATCCACACTGAATAGGGCCGGTTGAGAATGTGCTTTGGACAGAGTTTGCAGTCTCCGTGGTGTAGTGGTAAGACACTCGCCTGGCGTTCCGCGAGCACTATGTCATGGGTTCGTATCCTGGCCGGGGAGGATTTACTGGGCGCAATTCCTTAACTGTAGCCTCTGTTTAACGCAACAGTAAAATGTGTACTTGGATGAAAAAACGATTCTTCGCGGCAGGGGATCGTATTCCAGGGACCATAGGATTAAGGACTTGCCCGAAACGCTACGCGTACTAGTGGCTGTACAAGAATGTAACAACTCTTGTATATACAGTATCTCAAAAAAAAAAAAAAAAAAAAAAAAAAAAAAGTTGGATCCAGAATGATCGCACAATCTCGCTGGAAGCTGAGCCTGATGCAGTTTGCGTACTTTTAATTACGTACTGAATATGCCGCAGAAGCTGGGCTGGTGCTTTGTCTGCTAAACTTTTGTCAGTGATTGATTGGTAAAGATTAAACAATCCAAGAGGTGGCACGGGCATGAATAACCCATAATTTGTCAGTGAGGAGTTGATACCATTTAATGTGGCATTTCATTGCTGCTGGTAGAAGAATGGTCTTTAGTGTGGTGTACGTCATGATGTCTGCTGATGGGGCGTTAATGCAACCCGTTCTCGCAAATTTAATAAGTCAATATTGACTTATTAAATATGTGCATAGGTGACATACTTAACATAATAGATACCCTTAAAAAGATTCATAGAAAACACCGACCTTACCTAACCTATTTAGTATTTTAAGATAAGCATCTTATTGCTTCGTAATTACAATTATTACCTAACCTATAATAGGTATAGGTTAAGTAATAATTGTAATTACGAAGCAATAAGATGCTTATCTTAAGATACTAACAAGGTTAGGTAAGGTTGGTGTTTTCTATGAATCTTTTTAAGGGTATCTATTATGTTTAGTATATCACCTATGCACGTAGTTAATAAGTCAATATTGACTTTACGAATTTGCGAGAACGGGTTGGTTAATGACAGCGGTGGTGGTATGCTTAACAGCATAACATTCATGGGAAGTGTTGGCAGGGTACTGGCATATAGGGCTTTATCAGTCATAATCTCGTGGTATTCGAAAATAGCCTCCATCTGCATGAACTATAATTCTGGTTCATCTGCAATATATGCTCAAAACCTGGTGGAGAAATCCATGACGCAGTTCTAGTTATCTGTTGTTGAGACTGGGTGTTCTTTTCACTCACGAAGTCACCAATATACAGGTAACATTTTATTGTTACGTCAATTGTCGTGATGATAAACACAAATATTAAAAAATATATATATTTGGATGAATGTAGTCTACAGAAGTTTGCAGGTGAAGCTTGGCGAGCAATGGTGTGAGGCGAGTCAGAGAGTCGAGTGCGCGCTGATTATCGATGGTGTTGAAGACGTACAATATTTCACAAGTGCCTGTACTGAACCTCTCTTGGAGTTAGACTGATGATGATTGATTGATTGATTGATTGATGAAGATTAAGCCACTCAACAGGAGGCACGAGCATGAATAGCCCGGGCATGAATAACCAGTAAGGTGGCATGGGTATGAATAGCCCATAGTTGCACAATGATAATTCGCTGTCGATTGGTTATATTACCAGTCTACACCTCGCCTGACCATCCACTAGCAGGTTTGGGAAGAGGTATTAGCTGTACACTTGGGAGAGGTATTAAGTCTCCGTGGTTAAGACGCTCGCCTGGCGTTCCGTGAGCGCTCTGTTATGGGTTCGTATTCTGGCCGGGGAGGATTTACTGGGCGCAAATCCTTAACTGTAGCCTGTGTTTAACTCAATAGTAAAATGGGTACATGGTTGTAAAAACGATTCTTCGTGGGGGTCATATTCCAGGGAGCATAGGATTAAGGACTTGCCCGAAATGCTACGCGTACTAGTGGCTGTACAAGAATGTAACAACTCTTGTATATACAGTATCTCACAAAAAAAATTGTAATTAGTAGACTAAGTAGAATTAACAGAGCCATCTCATTTTCTGCACATAACCTAATGAGAATATGGAGAAAGTATATTACAGTATTGACATAATACAGTATACTATTATATTACTGTATATATAATAGTATAATATACTATATATATTATTGACATAATATACTTGCTACACTACTCTATTCTTATGAGATGTATTTCATTATCTCAATAAATGTACTTCAACTTGAACCTCACGTTCTTGAAGTTCCAGGTTTCAAGATGTTAAAGAATGGTGCTGTCTTAGCTAAACTTGTACCACATGGCTGTTGTGACAGCACTGCTCATTGGTTATCACCTTTACCTAAGGACACAAGTACCTCATATAGGGGTGTCTGTGAATCGGGAATCACACAAGCCGTTTGTGTGGTGACATAAGACTTATGGTTATACAGTACCAGCAGATGGCAGTTTATACAATTTGCTTGTATGTATAATCATGGGAAGGTTTCCATCACCACAAGTTAGCTGTTGAGTGTAGCAGGTGGTGGCAAGGGTCATGGGTGACTTGATCTAATCCCTTAATAATCAGGAATAATAAGGGAATAATCCCTTAAAGTAATTTTTAATTATGTTAAAAATGGATGGATGTTTTCACCAATGAAAGCATTATTATGAGAAGTACTGTATACTTTATTTGATGGAAGTGGTACTGTAAATGCAGTGCAGTGTGCAGGATTTTGTCGATTGAGCTTTGTTCTTGCCAGTGATGTTTTGATCATTTCCATTTGTATTTGTTCTCACATTTGTTTTTGTTTATTTCAGGCTTCATGCCAGGGCTGTTTCAACTATTGTAAAAGATCTCCAGATTACCGACTTCTCTGTGGAGAATGAGCCAGTTATGGGTAAGTAGATTGTCAATTTATACTTTCAAGACATGCTGAAAGACATCGATTATAATTGTTGAACTTTTCCCTCCTTAGCGCTCTTTGAAACCCCTTTTTTCAGGTAAGTGTTGGCCATTCTGGAAACTATTTTTGTCCTGTGAGGGCCATTTGCTTGTGAATTTGTTTGTACTTTGTTGTTTGCTTCACAATGCATGTTTCTCACTTTTTGTGTGGACTCTGATTAACTGTTCACCTCAAACTGCATGTGCCTATTGTGATAATTTCTAGGGCCTGGCTGGTCTTGCCCCAGCCTTTCCAGGGTTGTCTTATCTGGTGGGTTCAAGTGGCTGTCTCGGAGGCAGGCTTCCAGTGGAAGGAGTCTCACCCTTATCAGTGCATGGGTCATTTGACTCCTCAGTGAGGTTTTGTGGGTAGGGGCGCTTGGGGTTTTTATATAAGGGTAGCACAGGGGTGCTCATTATATGGCATTCTGCTCATGTGCTTAATAGCTTCCCTTTGACTTCAAGCTGTTTTCATGTTTGTTATATTTGGCAAGGAGCCCCTGTGCCTGGTGTTTCCTGATTGGTGTATCATTTGTGACTTGGCAAGCCCTTTGCAGTTTTTGGAGGGTTTATTATGCGCAGTCTTATTCTGCCCTCATAAGCCTCATAAGGTGAGAGTTTAAAGGATGTGCCTTTGGCTTTGATGTGCAGTACTCCATTGACCATTATTATTGCCATGCCATATGTTGGGTTGGAGGATATGTTCCCTCCCTGAAGCCCATGACATTTGTGATCGATGGGTCTCTGTTTTAACTGAGCCTTCCTCTTAGGATTTGGCTTTTCATGTGGTTGCCACTTTACAGGTCAAGTTTGCCTGTATATGTAGGTTTCTGTGTCGACATAGTTGCCCCAAGATCAGTCCCTTTATCTTTTCATGATCTGGACTTGGAACAGTTGGTCCTCAACCATTCCCTTGGTGTTGGAGGTCTATGGCCAGAAGTCTACCCTGCAGCTCTTCTCAGTCATCGCCAAGTAATTACCTAAGTGTAGTTACAGGATGAGAGCTACGCTCGTGGTGTCCCGTCTTCCCAGCACTGTCATATAACGCTTTGAAACTACTGACGGTCTTGGCCTCCACCACCTTCTCACTTAACTTGTTCCAACCGTCTACCACTCTATTTGCGAAGGTGAATTTTCTTATATTTCTTCGGCATCTGTGTTTAGCTAGTTTAAATCTATGACCTCTTGTTCTTGAAGTGCCAGGTCTCAGGAAATCTTCCCTGTCGGTTTTATCAATTCCTGTTACTATTTTGTATGTAGTGATCATATCACCTCTTTTTCTTCTGTCTTCTAGTTTTGGCATGTTTAATGCTTCTAACCTCTCCTCGTAGCTCTTACCCTTCAGTTCTGGGAGTCACTTAGTAGCTAGTCTTTGCACCTTTTCCAGTTTGTTGATGTGCTTCTTAAGATATGGGCACCACACAACAACTGCATATTCTAGCTTTGGCCTAACAAAAGTCATGAACAATTTCTTTAGTATATCGCCATCCATGTATTTAAATGCAATTCTGAAGTTAGAAAGCATAGCATAGGCTCCTTGCACAATATTCTTTATGTGGTCCTCAGGTGATAGTTTTCTATCTAGAACCACCCCTAGATCTCTTTCTTTATCAGAATTCTTTAAAGATTTCTCACATAATATATAGGTTGTGTGGGGTCTATGTTCTCCTATTCCACATTCCATAACATGACATTTATTAACATTAAATTCCATTTGCCAAGTGGTGCTCCATATACTTATTTTATCCAGGTCTTCTTGAAGGGCATGACAATCATCTAAATTTCCTATCCTTCCTATTATCTTAGCATCATCAGCAAACATGTTCATATAATTCTGTATACCAACTGGTAGATCATTTATGTACACAATAAACATCACTGGTGCAAGAACTGAACCCTGTGGTACTCCACTTGTGACATTTCTCCATTCCGATACATTGCCTCTGATTACTATTACTGCCCTCATTTTTCTATCAGTCAGGAAATTTTTCATCCATGATAGAAGCTTACCTGTCACCCCTCCAATATTTTCCAGTTTCCAGAACAACCTCTTATGTGGAACTCTGTCGAAAGCCTTTTTTAGGTCCAGATAGATGCAGTCAACCCAACCATCTCTTTCCTGTAATATCTCTGTGGCTCGATCATAGAAACTGAGTAAATTCGATACACAGGATCTTCCAGATCGAAAACCATACTGTCTGTCTGATATTATATCATTTCTCTCCAGGTGTTCTACCCATTTAGTTTTGATTAGTTTTTCCAATACTTTCACTATTACACTTGTCAATGGTACAGGTCTATAATTGAGGGTGGTCTTCCCTGCTGCCACTTTTGTAGATTGGAACTATGTTAGCCTGTTTCCACACGTCTGCTACGATTCCTGTACACAGGGATGCCTGAAAGATCAGGTGAAGTGGAATGCTGAGCTCAGATGGACATTCTCTCAGAACCCATGGTGAAATGCCATCTGGGCCAGCTGCTTTGTTCTTACCGAGCTCCTTGAGCATTTTTTCCACTTCGTCTCTAGACACCTCTATGTGCTCTATGTTGTTCTCTGGAATTCTTATTGTATCTGGTTCCCTAAAGATTTCATTTTGTACAAACACACTTTGGAACTTTTCGTTTAGTGTTTCACACATTTCCTTTTCATTTTCCGTGAATCTATTTCCCATTTTCAACCTCTGAATATTATCCTTTACCTGCAATTTGTTGTTTATGAATTTATAGAATAGACCTGGTTCTGTTTTACATTTGTCTGCAATCCCTTTTTCAAAATTTCTTTCTGCCTCTCTCCTCACTGCCGTGTAGTTGTTTCTCGCATCTTTGTATCGCTGGTATGTATGGGGGTTCGGCCTCTTCCTGTATTGATTCCATTTTTGTGTCTTTTGGTCTCTAGCCCTCTCGCAATTTCTATTGAACCAATCCTGTTTCCTAGTTCTGCATCTCTGTTTTGGTATAAATTTTTTTGTGCCTTTATCATATATTTCACAAAACTTGATATACATCTCATTCACTTCCTTGCCTAGCATCAAGTCTGTCCAATTATACTCACTAAAAAAATTTCTAAGGTCACCATAATGTTCTCTCCTGAAGTCTGGTTTTTCAACTGCTTCAACCTCCTTATTTTCTTCCAGCTTATAACGCATTGCATACTTTATTCCCAAAAAGACATGGTCACTTTTACCCAAGGGAGGAAGGTACTGAATGTCAAATATAATAAGTGGTTGTATCCTTGAGTGGTTAAGTTAACTCCAGCTCTGTGGTGGGTGTCCTGGTTCTTTCCAGTCCACAAGCAGGACTTACCATACCTACAGTATATTCTTGGCCTTGTGGGTTTTGATTGCTTCATTCTTAGTCCAACTTTAAACATGATCACCTTAGCTCATGAATGTTTGGTTTTGCAGGCAGATTTCTGGAGGTGTTCCTGGACCTATGGGACACTTATTTGCATGTTTCTATTCATCTCTGGTTCAAGACTGGTTAAATTTTGTGGTGTGGCATCATGCTTGTCACTTCTGGGTTCTCCCGTCAGCTTGAATGTGGTTCCCTGGAAGTTCACCAGGTTCGCATGTGTAGTAGTTTGTCACCTTCAGACAAGGTGACAAACAGGTGTTTGTCACCTGTTCGTGTCATAGCCTGCCTTGATACCTGGCAGGTTTGGGCTTAGTTAGTCTGCACGTGTGGAAGCATCTGGTTCTTTTCCCGCTCACCAGGTTTGGGTTTCTGGGGAATTTGTGGAAATATCATTTGGTTCTGTTGCAGGTTGGGATCTATTTGGACTTTGGTTTGGGACCCTTGGTCAACTTTCTCTACCTTTCTACCTACTATGGTTGGATGCAAGTCTCTGGCTGGTGGTGGAGAGTTCCTGGGTTACCCATCGTTTGTTTGAGAGACTGTGGGGAATCTAAACTTTGCCTGTGTGTGGTGTATTCTCTGGGCAGAGTTTTTCCTGGGTGCTGTACTATTTTCTTTAGTTCTGTTCCTTTTGCTGCCACTAGAGCTGGCAAAATTAGAATAATTTGCTACAAATTACCTACTTTAAATTATGTTAGATTAAGGACTTGCCCGAAATACTATGCGTGTTAGTGGCTTTGCAGACAAGCTCTTTGACAGCTTGTTTGCCAGTTTCCTTCTCAAGCTTTTTGGGGTTCTGTCTTGTGGCACCTCCCTACCCCTGTGGTTGACCTTTTCACAGATGTCTGCCTTGAGTTAGGGGTTTGTAACCAGCACTTGTCTGGCCACTAAAGGCTGTTGATGGATCCATTGTATTTGGTGCACAACACGTTGTGAGGATTCGTGGCAGTCTTGTGCTCGTGTGCGCACACACACACACACACACACACACACACACACTGCAGTTGATTTGTCTCCCAGAGGGCTCTGTATTCATCTAGTTGTTCTTGCTGGAGTTGAGCTCTGCTCTTTCAGCCCACCTGTCAACCCAATCAACTGTAACTATTTTTTTCCCCCCCACACACACACTCAGGAAGCGGCTCCATAACAGCTGTCTAACTCCTAGGTACCTATTTACTGCTAGGTAACAGGGGGTAGGGGTGAAAGAAACTTTGCCCATTTGTTTCTGCCTGGTCCGGGAATTGAACCCGGCCACAGAATTAAGAGTCCTGTGCGCTGTCCGCTCCTGGTAACCGAGACCCCTTGTACCAGACCCCTGTGGTACAAGTCCACTGTAACTGCTTTCTGGTGGGTCGTTTTCCAAATTGTTGGGGGTCACTTCGATCTCTTCATTTGTGGGGCTAGACTCTGTGCATGGCTCATCATTTGGATTCTTGGGGTTTGGCTCTCCATGCAGTTCAAATTTGTGAGGTTTCTTACCAGAAAACCAACGCTGAATATAATGAAATGCATTTTTCAGGCGAGTCCTATGGGATCAAGGAGGAAGGTGTGCAGTCCTATGGTAGCATGTAAGTGAAATTGAGGAGAGAACTGTTTTACAACCAGTTGGTTCATTTGTTTCAGAAGTTGATTATGGTGATCTAGTATTCCCTGCTCTTTATGCGTCTTTAGAGGGGGGCCGGTTTTGATCTCTGGTCCTCAGTAGGCTTGCAATGATATGCAAGGTCCTGGCATAGATTGAATTGGGTGGAGCTCTCCAGGTAGCTAGCACCAAGGACCCATCAGAAAGAAGCATTCATTACATTCAATGTTTTTTTACTGGCTTCAGATTTTTCCACTACCTATTATTAATTTTGGTAATATACTATATATGATATTGTATTACTGTCATTTAATGGTGTTTATTCAAGAAAATATTTGCACATGTGTTGGTTCCTCTTCACTTTTGTGAAGAGGAAGCTCTTCACCATGAATAGTTTGTTCATCCATCAGTCTATCATAGCCTTGATGACCAAACCACGCATCAGAAAATGGAGAAACGACGACGTTTCACACACAACTTGATAATGGTTCGTGACGTACCAAAACATCATAGTTTCTCCATCTTCTCATAATTGGTTTGGTCATAAATGTCTCATTTTATCTAAAATGTTAATTTTAGACAATGTCTCATTTTATTTAAAATGTTAATTTTAGACAATGTCTCATTTTATTTTATGTTTGTCTTGATCCTGTGGCAGCATTGTTTCAATATCTGCTAACATCTTGTTACTCCTCATAAGAATCACTGTTCCTTAACTCCTGTAATATAGTACAGTATGTACGCAGTACCAAATAGTAGGCCTTATTGTGCTGTGCGCCTAATTTGAATTTGTTATTGTGGTATTTTTGTTTCTTTTTATTTTAAAGTACAGTATTAATTTTTGGTTACCCTCTTCATTACACAGGTTACCTACCAGGTAGCCGTGAACGCACTGAACTTGAGGCTGCCATTGCTAAACACGAGTCCCAGGTAGCAGAAGTGCCCATCATGATTGGAGACCAGGAGTACCGCACAGATCTAGTCCAGCACCAAGTGATGCCCCATAAGCATTCCCACAAGTATGCTTCTTGTTTTGCCAGAGTTATGTCAGCATTCCAGGGGCTTATTCTTTACCTTTATTTAATATCTTCAATTTACTAAAAATAATTGAAAGTACAGTTTATATTATGTAAAACAAAACAAAAACAAAAAAAATCTTTAATACTATGTAAATAGTAGTACAGTAGACCCCTCAGAGAAAGCAGTGGATATGTAGCAGTAAAACTTTTGCGACTCAAAATCTGAACTGCATGAGGATCCTCGACGAGGATCTTGTGTTAATCACGAGTTGCAAAATATTTGGGAGGAGTCCTTGTGTAAGAGAGTAAGAGTCACACTCATGCTAGGTAATTTTTTTAATACTGTATAAAGGAATGTGGTTACAAGAAATAAAATTAATATTGTGTGAGTTTGCACAGCATGAGGGGCATATTGTAGAACAGTATAGTTATGTAGTATTCAATATGGTGTACATGTATTTGGATAATACAAATTAATAGCTACATTCTTGCCTAACATATTTGTAATTTTTTAAATTACTATGATCCCAAAAGGATGAAATGAATCTTCTAAAAACCAGCCTCTGAAGGGGGGAGGGGGGCCAAGTTCTGGCTCTGGTGCTCAGTAGGCCAATAGAACTAATACTCAACCACTATGAATACACTGAAACAGTCATTAAGAATTAATAGTACCCCAAAGATTTTCAAAAGTAAGGTACAGAATATTGTAGCTCGGAGCAATACTGTATAATTAATATGTGGTTTCTTATTGCAGCACTATTTATAAATGTATCGTAATACAGTCTTGCTAACTAGCAGCAAAGATGATATTGGGCTTGCAGATGCTACGTTGTTGTAACTTTTGGGTTCGTCAGAGGATCACATATTTGTCTAAAGGATGTTGTTAATTCTCTTCATTACCATGTATGTTATTTTGTCTGGATTGTAGAAAGTTGTAGATAAGTTTTATATTTTCTTTGAGGAAGATACAAACCCTATTGTTGGTAATTTGTTATATGCTTAATTGGTAGTCTCCCGTTTTGCTCCCGTAAGTGTACACGTCCCGGGGGTTCAACTTTTAGCAGTTTGTTCGGTAGACTTGGGCGCCAGTTCGCAGTACCCTGCCTGGGCTTCCCTTAGCGTGTACACAAGGCTAAGGGCCCTGGAAATCCCCACGGGGGCTCTGTGGTCCGATGGTGGTGACCTTGAGTCCCCCTCTCGCTTCCTGCGAGTTTGTTGGTTGCTCTGTCCCCTTGTCTCAGGGTGACACTCACCGGTTTTGTCTCTGCCATGCTGCCTGTTGGGTCGGACGTTCTTTGACCCGGAGTCGTGTGACGTTGGTTGTCTGTTCATATTCTAGTTTTCCCACACTGCTCATGCTGTTGTGTGGGTACAAGCAGCAGCCACATTGCAGGCTGGGTTAGATTTCTGCAAGGCGCTTGGTTGATTGCAGCCCTGGGTGCCCCGAGACTGCCCCATTTTGGTGATGGGGTGAGGGGGGGGGGGTCTCTTCGGCTCTGGTTCCGTCCGTCCCTCCTGGTCCTTTCCCTTCAGTTGAGCAATTGGGTCCTTCCCCTTGCTTCCGGCTCTGACACGTCTGAGGTTGCGGGGTTGCGTTGGTGTTTGAGACTTGGGCGGTCTTGGGGTTTTTTCTTCTTCCAGGGTGGCGGCGGAGGCCTTTGAGCCTGTTCCTCCAGCCGTGCGTAAGGATCTGACCAGTGGACTCACTCCCTTAGAATTTTACAGCTGCCCCGTCTTTTTCTTGTGAGGCCTGGGCTTGTGGGGGACGACTCGGCCCCAGGTCAGGACACGCGTGGCGGGGTTGGAGAGGGGTTGGCTTGGGGGGGGCCTTAGCCCGGTTTGGCCCCGCTTGGGGTTTTTGTCCCCTAGGAGCGGGACTAGCAGTTCCTCTGAGGGGGGGTTTATTACTTCCCCCTCTACATTCCTGTTGGTTTCGGGTCTGCCCCTCCCTGGGTTCGGTTCCGTGTCCTTCGGTTGTGTCGTTCCTGGAGGTGCTTTCACCCCTTCCCTGCTTATGTGCCTCCATAAGATTCTCGAGGGTTCACGACACTCGTCGATTCTTCCGATATTATTGGAACGTCTGCTGACATCCGGTGTGGTTCCCTCTAGTCCCTTTTCGGACTCGTTGGTCCTCTTCTGTTCTTGTTTTCTTTCGATTCCCTTTTGCCTTCTTTTGTCTTCCCTTTCTCTCTCCTTCCTGTCCTGACGTTCCTCTTTTTCGTTATGTCCTCTTGCTGGTGTGTGTACGATTTGTGTACATACAACTGGTGTACGAACCGCGCCACCGGAGGGCGGGTGGTGCGGTTCGTACCTCGGGTGCAGGGTCCGGGGTGATCGTTTTGTTTTTGGGCGGTGTACATGTTTTGGTGTTTCGTGTCCTGTCTCATGAATTTCTACATCTTTTCATTTGTCTTCTTTCTCCAGTCATTGCCCCTTGATGAGGGGGATGTTCGGGATTTCTATGTGGGAACTTCACTTCGATTCTTTTCCCTGATTCTGGGGGTGGGGTGGCTCCAGCTGGCTCCTCCTCCACCTCTGTCCTGCACCTCGGCTTCTGCTGGGTACGCATCTCTGGATGTACTCCCCTGGCAATGCTCCTGGTTTATTCCTCGGCTCGACTGTGTTGTGCCATGGTCGTGTCTCCACTCTGCAGGTGAGATTGTGCGACGCTGTCGGCCTGCTGCTGGTTCTCGGTTTTGGTGGGGTGTAGGTGTTGTGTGTTTTGCTTGGCCACTTTGAGCGAGTCTTGCCATGGCCTTCCTTGATCAGTGTACTGTGGGACGCAGCCTCGGTCTTCGGTGCCTTTTGTTTAATCTTTTGGCGCCTGAATCTTTTCTCGGTTTTCTTTGTGCTCTCTTCTCCCTGCCAGTTTTTGTCCTCGCTTGGTTGTCCTCCCCTAGTTCTGCTTGTGGGGAGTTGGGCTCTGACTCCTTGGTCCCGCTTCTCTGCTGTCGTTCACCTGGTGTATTGATTCCTGAGCTGTTTGGGCTCTTTCTTCTCTCCTTTTGGCGCTGTGTCTGGTGTCTGCTTCTGCCACACCGCTGGCTACTGCCTTCCATCTGTTACCTGCTCTGACACTGACAGGGTTCTTTCTACTATCCCTGTGGCTTCTTGGGTACTCAGTTTCCCCCTGCGTCCCCCTCTTTGTGTACTGCCCGTGTTCTCCAGTTTCTCATTCTCTACCCTTTCATTCCTCTGAGACTTGTTAGATGTGTTGCATTCCCGCAACCTGTCTTCATAACTTGTGCCGCTTTGCTCTGGGGCTAGCCTCGGGGCTTGCCTCTGCATTTTTCCAAATGGAGTACAGGCTGGGATGTTGGGGCCTCATACTCCGGGTTTGATCTTTTATATGTGGTGTACGAGGTGCTTGTATTGCCTGTGGGTGGGTGTTGCTTCCGTTCACCCACTCCTGCCCCTAAGATTCCTTTTCGTTAGGATGGGTGGAGCTGGGTTTATGGTCCTGGCTCCTGTTTTCTGTTCCTTTCCGGGCCGTTATTTTTTTCCGGGCGTCCTTCTTCCCTGCTGGGGCTGCTTGCCCTGCTCCTGCGGGTTGCAGGGTTGCTGTTTTCACTTTGCGTTTCGGTTCGTGGTCCTCGTTTCCTTGTTGACCTCTTCCTGTTCCCTGGTTCTTTGCCGCCCTTGATTGGGGGCGCTTCTTTGCTCTGTGACCGATTCTACAGGTTTTCCCACGGCTCCGCCTTTCTTGCAGGTTGGTCCAGCCCTGTACCGGCTGGTTCATTCTTCCCCCTCGAGTCTTTGCGTCTCAAGGTTTTTTTTGTCTTGGGTTCTCGTCCCTTGCGTGGGCGCTAGTGGCTTTGTTGTTGGTCTCCCGCCTGTGTGCTTTGTCTCGGCGGCAGTAGGTAGCTCCTGGTGATCCTTCCGGTTTTCCTATCACTTCGTAGGTGTACTGCGGTCTCTGATAGGTTTGTCTTCAGCTTCCCTTCGGGGTTGTTCCAGGACTGTCTTTTGGTGCCGAGTGCTATTGCCTCGTCTCGGGCGGTGCTGGCGGGTCTGCTCCCGCTTGCGTTCAGTCTTGCTGTTCCTTCTGCTCCATTCCGCTAGCTGTTTGGTTTATTTTTTCACTTCCGGCCTGCTTCTGCGCTTCCAGTGCTGTCCTGGGGGTTTATCTTCTCCTCGGTTGTCATGGCCCCTTTGGTTCTGGTGTGTTTTTCTGCTACTTTGGTTTTGGTGGTAGGTGGTTGTTTTGCTGCAGTCCCCTTCTTTTCGGGTGACGTTTGGGTCTGCTGTTTTCTGGTGGGACCCTTGGGTTGTGGCTTGGTTGGTCGGGCCGGGGGTGCTTTGTGTGTTGTTTGGTTGCGGTTCTTTGCTGTTTTCTGCGCGTCGTGGCCTCTGGGGCCGTGGGTGCGTTTTGCTTTGGCTGGGTTCCCTTCCTTCCTTCCTGTTCGGGGGTTAGGGTCTCCCGGGTCCTTTGGTTTGGCCTGTGGTTTTTGTTTTTGGTTTCGGCACGTTGCGTACGCCTCCCGATTCCTTTTCTCTTTTTCTTTATCTTTGGTGAGGTAGCTCTGGGGAGCCATAGGGGCTCCCCCCAGAAAACCAGCGTTGAATGTAATGAAACCCCATTTTCTGGATGAGTCCCAGAGGCTCCCCGGCATCCCTCCTTCCCTCTGGTCGGCGGTGTTTTTAGCGCATTTTGACATCCATCCTAAGAACTGCCAGTTGGATAGCTGGTGAGGAGAGTCTGGGGCTCCCTCTTCCCCCTCCCGGGGGGGGGGGGGGAGGGGTTGCGCAGACAGCGGTGTGGCGACGTAATGACGTCATGCTAGTTTGCTATTTTTGTTTGGGGAGTTCTGTGCACTCGATTAGCTTTCGGTAGCAATCTTTTCACCAGAATAGGGGTTTGTTTTGGGGCACCTACCTCTCTGGGTGCCTGTCATGGTCGATGGCAGACATAGAATGCTCCCACCCACAGGGGGGTTTCTATAGACCATTGCTCCTCGTGTCTCTCTGAGGGGGCCAGGTTCTGGCTCATGGTCCCTGGTAGGTAAGAACTCCATACACCTTGACCGATGCCAGAAAGTTATACATATGCATTCAGCCTGGATAGCTTCGGGGAGCCTCTGGGACTCGCCCAGAAAATGGTATTTCATTACATTCACTGCTGGTTTTTTATTATTACTGTATTTTTATTATTATTATTGTTATTATCATTATTTTCATTATTATTATTATTATTATTATTATTATTATTATTATTATTATTATTATTATTATTATTATTACATGATAGATGCTGAATGTTCATGGACCTGTAATTTCAGATTAGCCAAGTTCTACTATGCAACATCAGAGCTTGTACAGAAAGCCATCGACACAGCAATGGCAGCAAGAGTTAACTGGGAGCGCATTCCTCTGAATGAAAAGTTTGACATGTGGCTTAAGGTGAAGTTGCATGGCTGTTTTATGAATTAGGTATTTTTTACTTATTTATCAGTTTTCTTCTCTGTATAGTTTTCAAATTACAAGCACCTTATAATCTACATAATGACTCTACTGTTAATCATTGTCCATAGTGAATTCATGCAGGGCAAAGTTTTCATATACCTGTACTTTGTATATACAGTATGTATATATGTGTGTGTGTGTGTGTATGTGTGTATATATATATATATATATATATATATATATATATATATATATATATATATATATATATATATATATATATATATATATATATATATTTATTTTTTATTTATATATATATATATATGTCGTACCTAGTAGCCAGAACTCACTTCTCGGCCTACTATGCAAGGCCCGATTTGCCTAATAAGCCAAGTTTTCCTGAATTAATTGTTTTTCAACTACCTAACCTACCTAACCTAACCTAACCTAACTTTTTCGGCTACCAAACCTAACCTATAAAGATAGGTTAGGTTAGGTACCTAACCTATAAAGATAGGTTAGGTTAGGTTAGGTAGGGTTGGTTAGGTTCGGTCATATATCTACGTTAATTTTAACTCCAATAAAAAAAAATTGACCTCATACATAATGAAATGGGTAGCTTTATCATTTCATAAGAAAAAAATTAGAAAAAATATATTCAGGAAAACTTGGCTTATTAGGCAAATCGAGCCTTGCGTAGTAGGCCAAAAAGTGAGTTCTGGCTACTAGGTACGACATTATATATATATATATATATATATATATATATATATATATATATATGTCGTACCTAGTAGCCAGAACGCACTTCTCACCCTACTATGCAAGGCCCGATTTGCCTAATAAGCAAAGTTTTCATGAAATAATTGTTTTTCGACTACCTAACGTAACTTTTTCGGCTACCTAACCTGACCTATAAAGATAGGTTAGGTTAGGTTAGGTATGGTTGGTTAGGTTCGGTCATATATCTACGTTAATTTTAACTCCAATAAAAAAAATTGACCTCATATATAATGAAATGGGTAGCTTTATCATTTCATAAGAAAAAAATTAGAAAAAATATATTAATTCAGGAAGACTTGGCTTATTAGGCAAATCGGGCCTTGAATAGTAGGCCAAAAAGTGAGTTCTGGCTACTAGGTACGACATATATATATATATATATATATATATATATATATATATATATATATATATATATATATATATATATATATATATATATATATATATATATATATATTAGTATATTTTGGTAGCAGTCTTTCCTGTAGACATATTTTATTAAATATGACCGAAAAAGTAAGATTAATAATTCTAACACGAATTTTCTCAATCTTTCGTACATTATGCTTCACTGTTGGAGGTAAATCAAAAATCACTTCTCCAAAATTCATTTTTATTTCTAGTCTGACGCGACACGGGCGCGTTTCGTAAAACTTATTACATTTTCAAAGACTTCACAAATACACAACTGATTAGAACTTGCGTTTCCCTGATTTTATATCTACATTTGAGTGAGGTGGGAAGGGTGATGTGGCATTACATTTGAGTAAGGTGGGAAGGATGATGTGGCATTAGAGGATATTAATAGGGTATTAAAAGTATCAACACAAGACAGAACACGAAACAATGGATATTGAATAGAAGTGTTTGTAGAAAGCCTATTGGTCCATATTTCTTGATGCTTCTATATTGGAGCGGAGTCTTGAGGTGGGTAGAATATAGTTGTGGACTATATTCTATATTCTACACAACTATATTCTACCCACCTCAAGACTCCGCTCCAATATAGAAGCATCAAGAAATATGGACCAATAGGCTTTCTACAAACACTTCTATTCAATATCCATTGTTTCGTGTTCTGTCTTGTGTTGATACTTTTAATACCCTATTAATATCCTCTAATGCCACATCATCCTTCCCACCTTACTCAAATGTAATGCCACATCACCCTTCCCACCTCACTCAAATGTAGATATAAAATCAGGGAAACGCAAGTTCTAATCAGTTGTGTATTTGTGAAGTCTTTGAAAATGTAATAAGTTTTACGAAACGCGCCCGTGTCGCGTCAGACTAGAAATAAAAATGAATTTTGGAGAAGTGATTTTTTATTTACCTCCAACAGTGAAGCATAATGTACGAAAGATTGAGAAAATTCGTGTTAGAATTATTAATCTTACTTTTTCGGTCATATTTAATAAAATATATATATATATATATATATATATATATATATATATATATATATTTTATTAAATATGACCGAAAAAGTAAGATTAATAATTCTAACACGAATTTTCTCAATCTTTCGTACATTATGCTTCACTGTTGGAGGTAAATCAAAAATCACTTCTCCAAAATTCATTTTTATTTCTAGTCTGACGCGACACGGGCGCGTTTCGTAAAACTTATTACATTTTCAAAGACTTCACAAATACACAACTGATTAGAACTTGCGTTTCCCTGATTTTATATCTACATTTGAGTGAGGTGGGAGGGGTGATGTGGCATTACATTTGAGTAAGGTGGGAAGGATGATGTGGCATTAGAGGATATTAATAGGGTATTAAAAGTATCAACACAAGACAGAACACGAAACAATGGATATTGAATAGAAGTGTTTGTAGAAAGCCTATTGGTCCATATTTCTTGATGCTTCTATATTGGAGCGGAGTCTTGAGGTGGGTAGAATATAGTTGTGCAATAATTGGCTGTTGATTGCTGGTGTTGACTTCTTGATGTGTAGTGCCTCGCAAACGTCTAGCCGCCTGCTATCGCTGTATCTATCGATGATTTCTGTGTTGTTTACTAGGATTTCTCTGGCGATGGTTTGGTTATGGGAAGAGATTATATGTTCCTTAATGGAGCCCTGTTGTTTATGCATCGTTAAACGCCTAGAAAGAGATGTTGTTGTCTTGCCTATATACTGGGTTTTTTGGAGCTTACAGTCCCCAAGTGGGCATTTGAAGGCATAGACGACGTTAGTCTCTTTTAAAGCGTTCTGTTTCGTGTCTGGAGAGTTTCTCATGAGTAGGCTGGCCGTTTTTCTGGTTTTATAGTAAATCGTCAGTTGTATCCTCTGATTTTTGTCTGTAGGGATAACGTTTCTATTAACAATATCTTTCAGGACCCTTTCCTCTGTTTTATGAGCTGTGGAAAAGAAGTTCCTGTAAAATAGTCTAATAGGGGGTATAGGTGTTGTGTTAGTTGTCTCTTCGGAGGTTGCATGGCTTTTCACTTTCCTTCTTATGATGTCTTCGATGAAACCATTGGAGAAGCCGTTATTGACTAGAACCTGCCTTACCCTACAGAGTTCTTCGTCGACTTGCTTCCATTCTGAGCTGTGGCTGAGAGCCACATATATATATATATATATATATATATATATATATATATATATATATATATATATATATATATATATATATATATATATATATATATTTATATTTATTTATTTTTGTAGGGAGCCCCTTTGGCTCCCTGGAGCTATAGGACTAATATACGCTCTATTAGCCTGGAGCTTCAGTTAATGGAATTATACCTACCGGGGACCAGAGCTGGAACCTGACAAACCTCAAAGAGGCACAGGGAGCAATGGCCTAAGGAGACCCCCTAGTATTTTGGGGGTATTCCTTATCTGCCATCGACCGGGGTTAGGCACCCAGAAAGGTAGTCATCTCAAAACAAACCCCTCATGGTAGGAAATTGCAAAAAAAAAACTCGAGACAGAACAGAGAAACAACTCCCCAAAGGAAACAAGCAAACAAGCAATTGTCATTCACCACCGTTGCGCCGCTTGTTCTCGCAGCCTTCCCCTCCCCTCCCCGATAGGGGGAGGGGGGGAGCCCCGGACCTACGCACTGGCTACTCTCACCTCTTGTTTGTAGGCAGAAGCTCTCTGGGGTGGTTGTCGACTCTGGCGTCAGATTCTAGCAGGATTTTGTGCCCTTGTGAGGTTTTCTGCTGTTTGTGGTGCAATGGCCAGGAGTAACATAGTGTTCTAAGGGCCAAAGTGTACATAGTGTACTAAAAGGTTAGGGCTACCTTCCCTAAGTGCCCTGTGAGTACTACCCTTGGGTTCTAGGGTTCCTTTTCCTAGGGCTTTCGGGCCTCACTTCTTTAGGGGTTCCTGCTGCTCAGCAGTTACCATGCCATTGGGGCCAGCTGGGGTTTAGTGGCCTTTGTTTGGCTTTGGGTAGGAAGTGTTGTTGCTGGTGTGGGGCATGAGGTGCTGTGCAGCACACCTACCAACATGGTGGCCATGTTCCCTGTTCCTCCTGTGGTGGTTCCTCCTTGCTGACATTCTCATACAAGGGCTCAACCGGCTTTGCAGCACAGTTGCCTGGGGATCCCGTAGGCTGAACCCCCTACGTGCACTTGAAAACCACGTTGGGGCTTGGCAGACCTGTGGATGCATTTTCCAAATCCCATCTCCATTTGTGCGAGGTTGAAGGTTGTTCGTTGCCCTTGTCTCAGGGTGACGGTCGCCTGTTTTGCCTCTCTCATGCTGCCTGTTGGGTCAGTGACACCTACGACCCAGAGTCTTGCTAGACTTGTTCCCAACTCGTACTCGAATTTACCCATTCTTCTTCGGAAGTTCTTTGGGGTCAGGCGGCGTCTGTGTTGCAACGTTGGTTTTGATTGTTGCAATGCGCAAGATTGGTTGGCTGCTTGAATGCCCATGGGGCTGCCCCATGCCCAAGGGCTGCCCCATTTTGATTGGGTTGTACTAGGGGGTGTTGGTTGCTTCGGCCTTAGTTCAGTCCATGCCCCTGTGTCCTTCCCCCGCTTTTGTGGTTTCTCAGCTTCCCCCCTCTCCCTCTGCTGCCAGCTCCCTATCGTATGAAGGTTTTAGGGTCGGGGCGGGGTTTAGTTGGATCTGCCCCATTCGTTGTGGGGACAGAGGCCTTTGTGCCTGCTCCTCCTGCCGAGGCTTCTGCCCCCCCCCCCCTCCTCCCTCTTCCTTCCTTCCTTCCTTCCTTCCTTCCTTCCCCCCCTCCCCGAGTTCATTTCTGAGTACCTTTGGGTTCTTCAGTTGCTTTTCGGACGTTTTCCTTCCTCTCGTGTTTCCCTGTGGAGGTTTGGGAGGTCCCTGGTGTTTTTCTCCTGTGTGACCCTGAATTTACCCCTCTTGGCCTGCCCTAATTTGCGTTCAGGTCCTCGTCCCCATTTTGGGTGTTCTGGGGTTCCTGGGTCTTCCTGGCTTGTAGACGACATTTCTTCTTAGGGCTTGACACTGGTTTTGGTGGTCGTGCCGGGGCTCCAGCTTTTGCTAGTCGAGGTGGGCCTTGGTTTGCCTGCTTTTGTGCCGGTGCCTCCTCTGGGGCCCCTCTTTGCCTGGTCGGTGCAGTGCTCGCTCTGCTCGCTGGTTTGCTTCTTGGAGGGGGCGCTGGCCTCTTTGCGGGTCACCCATTGACAGGGTGATGGGGGTGAGGCTGGCTCTGTTTGCCCACACTTGGTTCCACTATTCATGGGCATTTTGGGTCGTGTCTTCCAGCCTGTGGTGGCGTTGGGTGGCTCCTCCTCCTCTTGGAGGCTTGGGGCTGGTGGGGTGGGCTTCTCCCCCAGACCCCTGCTGTCGGGTTATCTTGGAGTGGGTGCGCCTGGGTGTGGTCGGACCATCCTCATCCTTCAGGTGGGTTTCCTGCTTGTTCCAGTGCCATCACAGGACTGTGGATCTTTGGTTCTTCTGGACTGTTCAAGATCCGGCTTCTTTTGGAGCCGGATTGTTGGATGGTGTGTGTGGCCCTTTGGGATGCATATTGACATGTCCCGCTTCATCCTGGGTTCAGGGACTGGTTAGGTTTCGTGATGGGGCAGCTTTCTTCTTGTTTTCATTGCCTTCCTTTTGGCCTACCTTGATGACTGGTTGGTGTGGGGCTCCCAGCCAATGTGCTTGTTTGCTCGCCACAGGGGGGTTCTTTCCCATCTCGCCGGGTTCGGCTTCCTGGTGACCTGGGGAAAGTCTCATCTTATTCTCTCCCAGGTTTGGACCCGACTGTGACTCTTGGACCGCTTCCATGTCTCTCTCTCTCCTGCAGTCTTGTCTTCTGCTGATCCTGGGGGTCCCGGGTCACTCAGTAGTTACTCGAGCAGGTGTGCAGGAGTCTGCACTTCGCTGTGCTAGTTTACCCGTTGGGTCGGGCTTCGGCGCCTGTTCTGGTTCCTTCAGGGACATTCTTTCCGCCTCTCTTGCAACTGCTGGGTTCAAACCCAGTGGGCCTTGCGTTGGTTGCTGCGTCACCGGCTTCCTCTTCAGGGTTTTCAGGGTTTGGTGCCTTGGCGCCTCCCCGAACCCTTGCTCGTTGTGTTCCTGATGTCTCGTCTCTTGGCTGGGGTTTTGTGATCCTTGCTCACTAGGCCGGCCTGGGGCACTGGGCTCTGCCCTTCCGTCAGGCTCATAGCGTGGTGCGGGAGTTTGTGGTAGTCTATTCTTCGCTGTGTGGAGTTAGGGTCGCCCAGGGCTCTATGATCAGGCTCTCTTCAGACTGTGCTTTGGTGGTTCATTGTCTGAACTGAGGTGGTTCCCTTCAATCCTTGGCTCTTTGGGGCTGGTATCTTCGAGTGACTTGTCGTCCGGTTTCTCAGTGTTCTCTGTGCAGTTCACATCCGGGGTGTGTCCAATGTCCTGGCGGAGTGGACGAGTGACGTGGACTCCTTCAGTTGGCTCTGCCGGAGGTGGAACTCTTCGCAGCGGTGTGGTTCCAGCGTCTCCCGAGATATGTGGTACGCTTCCATGACTGAGGAGCTGTCGCGTTAGACGCTCTTTGGAATGACTGGTCGAGGTGGGGGTTCCCTGTACCTCTTTCCCCTGGTCCAGCTGTTGCTTCGGATTCTGGCTCAGTTGGAGTCTTATTGTAGGAGAGTCCTTGTAGCCCCATGGTGGCCAGCCCAGCCTTGGTTTCAAGCGCTGTTTGCTAAGTGTCTGAACCCGGGGCGTCTTACATGGCTCCGCCTCTTCAAGCAGATCGGGCCAGTCCGGTACATGGCTAGTTCGATATACTCCTCTACCCGTTGCGTCTGATCTTTTTGATGCGGGTGTATCACCACTTGTATGGTGATCAGGTGGCTTAGTTGGTGTCCCAACTTGCAATCCTCATCTCGGTGATGGTATGAGGTGTCTTGGTGGTCTTTTTGCCATTTCCTCTCTTTATAGTTTGACTTCCATTTCTGTTCGGGTGCCTTGGCCTTTCTTTCTTCACTCTTTCAGGATTATCATCTTATGCTAAATACTGTCGTCAAGTATCATGCGACACTGGCGGAGCCGCTCTAGTTTGCGTTCCGAAAGCTTTCTCGTGCTTTGTTTCAACTCCGGCCTGCTTATACGCTGCCTGAGCCGTTCTGGTCGTTGGACCGGATGCTCTCTCTTCTCCTCGGTTTGGGGTGACCCCTTCGGTTCAGGATTTTCTCAAAGGCTCTTTTTCCTGTTGGCATTGACTTCCGGGGTCGGGTATGGGAGCTTCATGCTCTATCCCGGCGCAGAGGTTTCTGGTTTTTTGTTCCTGGTGGTAGGTTTGTTCGTTTGCAGCCATCTTTTTCTGGCGAAAAATGAGACTGCTGCTTTCCGGAGGGGTTCTTGGGTTGTTGATGCTTGATTGGTTCGGCCGGGAGTTCATCATGTGTTGTATCCGGTTGCGGTTCTTCAACGTTTTTTGCGCACCATGGCCTCAGTGGCCAGGGACGCATTTTGGGTTGACCCAGTTTCCCTTTTTCCCTGTTCCAGGGTTCGGGTCTCACGGATCGTCTGCAGGGTTATTCGATCCAGCCAGCCTGTGGTCTATCTTCGTGCCCATGACATTCGTAAGTTTGCTACATTGGCTGCCATCTTTGGTAATATGTCTTAGGCTGATATACGGGCACAGGGTTTTTGGAGATCAAACAGGATCCTGGCCACTCGCTACCTAGTTGATGTTCATGGCCCTAGTCGGGCGTGTGTTGCATTGGGTCGGCGGTTGCAACCAATTGTCTCGACTTCAAGTTGAGGAGCGAGTGGCGACTGTCTCCCGGGTAAGTCCCTCTTGTTTTATCTTTGGTTAACTAGCTCCGGGAAGCCGAAGGGGCTCTCACCAGAAAACTCGGCGTTGAATGTAATGAAACGCCATTTTATGGGTGAGACCCGGAGGCTCCCTGCCAACCCTCCTCCCTCTGGTCGCCTTTTTTTTTTAGGTTTTTGACATCCATCCTCTGAACTGGGGATGGATAGCCAGTGCAGAGGATCTGGAGCTCCCCCTTCTCCCCTCCAGGGAGGGGGGGGGGAGCTGTGCAGACAGCAGCATGGTGATGGTTGTGATGTCATGCTCCTTTCTTGATTTTAGTTTGGGAAGTTCTGGTCAACAGTTCGACTTTCAGTAGCAATTTTTTAACCAGATAGGGTTTGTTTTGGGGAGCCTACCTGTCTGGGTGCCTGAGCCGGTCATTGGCAGACATAGAACAGTCTCCACAGAACTACACCACAGTCTCCGTGGTGTAGTGGTAAGACACTCGCCTGGCGTTCCGCGAGCGCTATGTCATGGGTTCGTATCCTGGCCGGGGAGGATTTACTGGGCGCAATTCCTTAACTGTAGCCTCTGTTTAACGCAACAGTAAAATGTGTACTTGGATGAAAAAACGATTCTTCGCGGCAGGGGATCGTATTCCAGGGACCTGCCCGAAACGCTACGCGTACTAGTGGCTGTACAAGAATGTAACAACTCTTGTATATATCTCAAAAAAAAAAAAAAAAAAAAAAAAAAAGAATACTTCCAACCACACGGGGGTTTCTATAGGCCATTGCTCCTCTTGCCTCTCTGAGGGGGGCCAGGTTCTGGCTCGTGGTCCATGGTAGGTCTAAGAACTCGATTTGCTTTGACTGATGCCACGGTCTAATACATTCAAAGCAGCCGGATAGCTCTTGGGAGCATCCGGGGCTCACCCAGAAAATGGTGTTTCATTACATTCAACGCTGGTTTTTTAATTGTATTGACAAGTGCTGTATAGTGATAATACTAATATGAATGGGACATACATGTACAGTATTAGATATTTTAACTTGTAGTATATTACTTTGCTGCACAGTGGGAAATGTAAAGAATCTTAGATTGTCAGTTGAAAAATTAATTGACTCTGTACCATATCAAGGTGTAGAGCTCTGTTGTGACCCAAATGTTGTTTCAGGCAGCAGATCTAATGGCAGGAAAGTACCGACAAGACCTTAATGCTTCAACCATGTTGGGTCAGAGCAAGACAGTTATCCAAGCTGAGATTGATTCTGCAGCTGAGCTTATTGACTTCTTTAGGTGAGTACCGATGTTAGAGTACAATTTTGGAAGGCAATTGTCATTTTAATACTAAGTACAGTATCTTTTGTACAAGTGTTAGTTTTCATCATTGTGGATTTAAACTTAGTTTAATTCTTGCAATCTATTTTACTTTATATATCAAATGGGAAAACCAGCATTGAATGTAACGACAGGCCTCTTTCTTGTAGAGTCTCAGTGGTTCCATAGCCCCAGTCACTATGTATGTTTGCTAGCCAGGGATCTGGAGCCAGATTCACGAAGTCGTTAAGGAAGCACTTACGAACCTGTACATCTTTCCTCAATCTTTGGCGGCTTTGTTCACAATTATTAAACAGTTAATGAGCTCCGAAGCACCAGGGGGCTGTTTATAACAATAACAACAGTTGATTGGGAAGTTTTCATCCTTGTAAACTGTTTAATAAATGTAACCAAAGCCGTCAAAGATTGAGGAAAGATGTACACGTTCATAAGTACTTGCATAACTGCTTCGTAAATGTGGACCCTGGCTAGTTCCTTCCCAGCTCACCGGGTTCGAGTTCCTGGTGAACTGGTGGATGGCGCAGTTGGTTCCATCCCAGACTGACTTGCCTGGGCCTTGTGTGGACTCTTGATCGATGCCACTTTCCCTTCCTCTGGCTACAGCACCACTGCCTGTTGGTGTTGTGGCATCTCCGGGTGACTCGACATTTCTTGAGCACTTGTACAGAAGCCTGAATTTTGCCAGCGTGGGTTTTAGCAAGTCACTGAGCAAGGTGAGGCTTTTGGGACCCTTCTGGTTTCTCCCGTTCTGCCTCTTTTTGCCACTGAACCCTGTTGGGTTCAGGCCCCGATCACCCTTTGTCAGCTGCTGCGTCGCCGACTTCTTCTTTGGATATTTTTAGCAGCCTGGTGAGCAAGATTATTGCTCACCAGGCTGCCCAGGGCTGTTGGCTGGGTCTATTCTATTGGGCGCAGAGTATGGTGCAGGAGTTTGCGGCAATATGGCATGCCCTGAGGAGGAATCAGATTCCTCTGGGCTTCATTCTCTGATTTCATTCGGACTGTTCCCTGATGGTACATTGCCTTAACCAAGGCGGCTGCCTTCAGTCCATTACCTTTGGAGCTGGACACTGCAGGTAGCTTGTCTACTGGCTTCTCAGGGTTTGTACTCTGCATCATTCATGTTTGGGAAGTGTTGACTGCTTTTGCAGGTGGTCTCTCCCATTCTTTGATAATGAGGTCCTGGTAGATGCCTTTCATCTGAACTAGTTGTGGTGGGGGGTTCTTTACCTCTTTCCCTCAGTCCATCTGTTGATCCGGGTCCTCACCAGGTTGGAGTCCCACCAGAGAAAGGTAGGCTTTCTGGCACTTTGGTGGCGGGCTTGGCTTTGGTTTTAGGCACTGCTTACTTGGTGTTCGAACCCAGAACCCAGGTGTTTTTGTGCAGCTCTGCCTCTTTAAATAGATTGGCCCAGTGACATACCGTGATGATTCAAACCTCTCTTTGGCTCTTTGTGTCTAGACTGGCTGACATGTCTTTATTGGCATCTCTGGCGAGTAGTTGGCTGAATTGGTAGTATGAGGCTGCTTGGTGCTCTTTTTGTCACTTATTTTCCTTCATCGTTACTCTTGTCTCTATTCGTGTGGTGGTTTCATATATGCATCGCATACTGAATACTGACGCCTCTTATTGTTCGGTGGTGCTGGAGCTGCTACTGTTTGCATTCAGCATGGATTCTTCCTTGACACTGTTTTGGAAGCTGGCTCGTCCATTGTTGTAAGAGCATGAGCTTTGTAAGCCGTGCCCTAGAGTATGAACTCACGAAGCCCGTCCTTACTTCCTTACTTATAGTATAGATACGTTACTTTAAAACAGGGATGTAGAAACAATATGCAGACACGAGTAACCACGTGGGGGCCAGTACCATGTTTTTGAATTGGCAGAACTCGACAAACAATCAAAGTGCGTGCATTACATTTATTATAACACAGGAAATGGGATAATACACTAACAAGCAATAATTTCTTACATTGTTTCATCTCCGGCTTACTCGTGTGCTGCCTGTGCCCTCTTAGTCTCTGGACCTTACTCTTGCCTTCCTTTCTTTCTTTGCCTTGTAACACCTTAAATGGTTTTATTAATATATTCATTGATACAAGTAGTCATTTCACACAGGAAACTGTGTTGCCAGGCTGTTGGTTCCTAGGCAGTACGAAGTTCACACCTTCCAGTGTTAATTTGGCCATGTTGGCCAGAGGTCAGGTGTGTAGGTAACCTCACCCAGCTTCAGGAATGTGATAAGCTGATATTTGCAGATGGTTAATGGTCTTTCCATCAAACAAGCCCTGTCTAGGTGTAATATCTAGATAGATGTGGATTATCTCTGGTAGGTGGGGCTTAGCTCTTGACTTTCACCTTATAAGCAAAACAGTTTCATATTTGTGAGCAGACAGAGGATCCTCGCTCCACCGGAGAGGATTCAGCAGGAGGCCAGATTCTATACAGTTCTCTAGGCCAGTGGGGGGGTGGGCTGACAACTGTTCACTACTACCCCCTCCAACCATGTTATAAGTTAGACCTTGGTGAGTTTGTGAGGTTGATGTTACTGTTACATACTGTTACTGTTACAGGCATGTTACATACAATACTGTTACAATATTTTACATTTGTAATAGGTCAGGCAGTCAGCCAGTTTGGTCTCAGTTTCTTGGTCAGTGACTCTAGTTACTAGTGGTCATTTAATGTCAATACAGTATATTATTGATTACTCATGGTAATATAGATACATAAATAAATGTCCTGTTTAAGTTTTGAGTTAGTCTTTGAATCTAATACCTGAAGATCTGGGATTTACGTCTAAAGTCATGCTGTTTTAAAAGATTGGGTATCTTCTTGGAGGTTATCTTGAGATGATTTCGGGGCTTAGCGTCCTCGTGGCCTGGTCCTCGACCAGGCCTCCTTTTTGTTACACATCCCCAGGAAGCAGCCCATAGCAGCTGTCGTAACTCCCAAGTACCTATTTACTGCTAGGTAACAGGCATCAGGGTGAAAGAAACTCTGCCCATTTGTATCCGCCTCCACCGGGGATTGAAACTGGAACTACAGGACTACGAATCCAAAGTGCTGTCCACTCAGCTATCAGGCCCCTGGGTAAAGGGTGCACTGAGGATTACTTACTTGAAGAGTAAGATTTTGCAATAACATCTGATTTACTCCCTTGCAGGTATTGCAGGTTATCCTTTACTTAGACATAACAGGTGGAAAGAAACCGTTCCATTTTTGTCTCTAATTACTAAATGGGTGGTGGCAGCTTCTACCTTTCTTCCTCTCTTACTTAGTCTACCCTTCATCCCATCTTCTATATCTCTACTTCCCCCCCTTCATGTTTTCTCCTCCAACTCACTCCTCCTTCTTTTCCCTCTCTAACTCTGTCCTTCCATATTGTTTATCGCTTCCCATTTTTCAATCTTCACTAATCTGTTCATTTTCATACTATCCCTTACAATGGTGGCAGGAGTATTTTCTATGTCTTCACTTTACTTTACTTTTAAATAACTCTCTTTAACTCTCTCCTCCTCCTTCGGCTCTTTCTTTCTCCCTCTCACCATTCCTTTTTCCCTTCCCTTTCCCCTTCCCATTACATCCTCAGTTTATGGTTTCCCTTTACAGGCCATGATTCTTTTTCTAAGGTGGTTTTCTTGTTGGCACTCTTCCTTCAGTTGTAGGGTTGGGGAGATTTTTATGCTCTTCTCTAGAGGCGTGGTTTTTGTTAATTTTTAACCCTTTTGTACAATATGTTTGTCTGTAGCCATCTCTCTCTTTTCTGACAAAGACTTGAGTCGATGGACTTCCAGAGCGGTTCTTTGGTTATTGATGGTTGGTCGGTTTGGTCAGGGGTGCATCCTGTGCTATGCCTCGGTAGATGCCTTGTGGTTGATCCAATTTCCTTAGTTCTCTATTCCAAGGCTCATTTTTCCCAGGTCATCTGCAGTATCAAGTACAGCCAGCATTCAGTCTACCCTTGTGTCTATGCTATATGCTGCACTCGCAGCTGTTTTGTCTTGAGCTTATACTGTATTTGGGCGTGGGGGGGTTTGGTGATTTAACAGGATCCTGGCAGCCCGGTATTTAGTCAATGTTTGCAGTTAATGTTTCCAGGCCTTGTCGTGTCTGTTTAGCTTTGGGTCGTTTCTCTCGGCTGAGTGTCTCGTCTTCATCTTGACTGCCTGTGGTTTCTCCTTCTTCTTGATCTATCTTTTCCATGGGTAGTTAACTTCAGGGCACCACAAGGGGGCTCCCCCTTGAATACTTTGAATATAATGAATGCAATGGATTGTAATAGAATGTAATGAAACAAATTTTTCTGAATGAGCCCCCATGGCTCCCTGATTCACTCCCATTCTTCCAGGTCATCAGTTGATGGGTGTCATCTGCACATCTGCTCCAGAAAGGATGTTGGAGACTGGGGAAGAGCGGGAGCTCCGCTTGGTGGTGGGGGTAATGCTAACAAAAGTGCACTAGTTTTGAGGGGTTCGATCGTTTGTTTATATTGTTTGGGTCGAGTTCATTAGGTGGTTTTGAAGCCTCACTGATGTTTTGGTGGTTTTGTATGGGTTCACTGACTTTCTTGATGCTTTCCTGGTGATGTGTCACCTGCTCTCTGTACCTCTGTGAGAGGGGGGGCCTTTTTCTGGCTCTGGTCCCAAGTAGGCCAAACAGAACTTATCAGCTGATGTGATCAAATACTGTAGTTGGGAGACATCTCGGTGAGATGGCTTTAGGGAGCCACCTGGACTCATACAGAAAGGGGCTTTTTCATTACATTCAAAGTTGGTTTTATCATTATTGTGATTTCACTTGTAGGTGAGGACCTTTATTCTGCAGATCAGTGGTTGCTGATGTACATTTTCAATGTACAGTACAGTATTTGGTGTGCTTGAATGTGATGCATAATTATATAAGCATTATAGTTTATAAATTGTGTCTTTATTGATATTCTAAATCTTGTTTTCTGCTGCATGTAAGTTTCATCATATTTGTTAACTAATATTTTATTAAGTTGTAGAATTCTCTAATTTATGTTGGTTAATAATGTAATATTTGTTATTCCAGATTTAATGCATTGTATGCCAAAGAAGGAACTAAATGGCAACCTCGCAGCCCTGAACCAAATGTAACTGTTAACAAACTTAGACTACGAGGAATGGAAGGATTCATTGCAGCAGTCTCTCCTTTCAATTTCACCGCTATAGGAGGCAACTTAGCATACACGCCTGCAATGATGGTAATTTTCTTATATGAGGACCTTCAGCTTCTTATATAAGGACCTTCATACAACTCTAAATCCCTTGCCTTGCTCTGATTAGCATTAACACTTTCGTGCACCCAGTGCTCGCGTCCCAACCCACCCCAAGGTGGGCTTGGCGTTTCTTGGGAGCGCGCACCCACACTAACATATGTACTCTTTCCAGTGTTCTGACCTCAATGTTTGAGCTATGCCGTTCATTTTGGTATCAAATTGTTTGCCATCTAAAGATTGTATTATAGCAATCATTGTAAATTGCATTGTAAAACTAGTACATAATAATCAAACAGTTAATGGAAATTTAACAAATATTTTAAATTTGGATGTTCATCACCACAAGTATTTACTGTATAATCTTTCCAGTGTTCTAACCTCAATTGTCATGCTACTTTGTTCATTATGGCATCACATTGTTCGCAATCTAAAGGAGCGCATTGTAAAACTAATGCCATAATAAGTGAACAGTAAATGGAATTTTAACATCTTATATCTTGAGGTTATCTCGAGATGATTTCGGGGCTTTTTTTTAGTGCCCCCGCGGCCCGGTCCTCGACCAGGCCTCCACCCCCAGGAAGCAGCCCGTGACAGCTGACTAACACCCAGGTACCTATTTTACTGCTAGGTAACAGGGGCATAGGGTGAAAGAAACTGCCCATTGTTTCTCGCCGACGCCTGGGATTGAACCCAGGTCCACAGGATCACAAGTCCAGCGTGCTGTCCGCTCGGCCGACCGGCTCCCTATTTTATATTTTATATTAACATATTTTAATTTTGGATGCTCATCACCACAAGTATTTATAATCTCTCCAGTGTTCTGACCTCAATTGTTGTGCTACGTCATTCATTTTGGTATCAAATTATTCACAATATAAAGGCACGCATTTTAAAACTAGTTCCATAATGATCGAATAACAAATATAATTTTAACAAATGTTTTAAATTTTGGCGCAACATGCGTCATCAGCGGACATCCGTCAATTTACAGTACTGTACAGTATTTATTGAAGCAGGTTGCGTCGCCGCAGGAAAAAAATATTAAATACTTTGGCTTGCCTCATATTTGTTTGGCATTAACTCCTTAAAAATATCCTTGCTGAGCAATTCCAGTCTGTTTTATAACCATCATACTCCTGTAGCAGTGGTATCCATTGTCAGCAAATAATCAAGGGTCTTAGTTTCCAGCGGTAGGACTGAGACAGTTGGGCACATTTTCTTTCACCCTATACTTGTATTCACCTAGCAGTGAATAGTAAATAGGACCTAGTAATTACAGTTCTTGGGGGTTGTATCATGGGAAAGTTTACTAGATGGCCTAATGAGACTTGGATAAGTTTAAATATAGGCTTCCCTGTCTCTGACAGTAGGCATCCTGGAATACTACTTGGACAGTATGCCAGGGGCACTGTTTGGGAATTTATGGTAAACACTTTTCTGTCTACAATCTAGGCTGGAATAAGTATTCTCCAGGGGCCAGATTCACGAAGCGGTTACGCAAGCACTTACGAACCTGTACATCTTTTCTCAATCTTTGGCGGCTTTGTTTACAATTACTGTATTAAACAGTTAATGAGCTCTGAAGCACCAGGAGGCTGTTTATAACAATAACAGGTGAGTGGGAAGTTTTCATGCTTGTAAACTGTTTAATAAATGTAACCAAAGCCGTCAAAGATTGAGGAAAGATGTACACGTTCGTAAGTACAGTGGTACCTCGCATAACGATTGCCCCAAAAGACGAATATTTTGGGTAACGAACGGCCCGATCGGCGTCAAATCGTCCCTTATGACGAACGCTGGTTTGAGTAACGTCAACACCACATGGTGGGGTCGCGCTGCTTCTTGCACATTCTTAGACGCCTCCGACGATGCACATAAATTATGTTGTTCTTGTTTAAAGATGCTAATGATGCTGGGATATAAAAGGGTGACTACTGAGATGTTGCAAAGCATTGACGTTTTTGTAGGAAAAAAGAAATGAAATGTCTGATATACAACAAATGTCAAAAAGGTTCGTTCGGTGTTCGGCAGGAAGGCTGCTCCATTATAACAATCTTTCTTTGTTTCAAATGTGTTCCATTTGTTTTTTATTTGTCATTTGCATCTCAATAATGGAGAAGCCTACCTTACATACACTGAATAAACCATTATGACATTTTCCTTTCTTCAAATGTGTTCAATATTTATTTTTCATTTGCCTTATAGCAAAAGGTTCGTTCGGTGGTCGGCAGGTAGGCTGCTCCATGTTTCTTACATACAAAAAACGTAAATAATAAAAAGAATGAAGAATTTTGAAAACCAGTACAAATGTCAAAAAGGTTCGTTCGGTGGTCTACAGGTCGGCTGCTCCATGTTTCTTAAAAAAAAAAAAAAAAACGAAAAATAAAAGAACTGTTGAAACAATTTGAAAAATGGACAAATGTCATAAAGGTTCGTTCAGTGTTTGTCGGGTAGGCTGCTCCATTATTGAGACGTAAGTGACAAATACAAAACAAATGGAACACATTTGAAACAAAGAAAGATTGTCATAATGGAGCAGCCTACCCAACAAAAACTGAACGAACCTTTTGCCATAACGAATATGAAAGACAAGGGCTGCTGGCTGGGTTAGTACTGCGTGAGCAACCATTTGTGGCACACGTGCCTCTGGCTCTCAAACACCTGTCCCACACGGTGTTGAAAGACTGTGCTCAGTCGGTGCAATTCAGACCCTTTTGTTTGAAGAACATAAGGGTCATAACATTGGTGAAGCTAGGCGCAATAAGGGCTTAACACAACGGTCGGATGCCAGTGATACAGCACCTATGAGGATGATACAGCAAGCGTATCCAGGTGTAGCTCTGAGCCCCACCCTTGCCATCTCTAATGTATATGATGATACATAGATGAATCGTTTTCTGCGTTCAGTGATGATGCATCTGATACAAGTAGCATAGATTAACAGTGTTAGCGGCTTCCATGGTGGTGGTGTTCATTGATATTTTCAAGAATACCTGAATCTTTTCCTGACTGATGGACACTCTTTGAGGCTAGCTGAATCTCTTCCTGTGTGGGACCTTACAAAGCGATCTTTTCAAGACTACCTTACAAATTGAGCTTTTCCTATAATCGTTTCAATACTACTTTATGCTTTACAAGCTTGGCTACATACCACCTACAAGTACTAAAGCCAAGGGTGCACGCAAGTGCGTTATTTGCAAGCACACATAACGATGAAACAGGAAGCAAAAATCTATCTGTAGCTGGTGCAAGGAGAGCAAAGTCGCGCTGTGTACCATGGACTACTTCGTTGACTATTATGCACCTCCAAAGTACTGAGTGTGTAATACAGTGTGTTACTGTGTAAATAGTATGTGAAACTGTACATATTGTAATATTAGTGAATTATTACCACGTAATATTGTGACAATAAACATTTATTGTGGACACATTACTGACACATGTATCACAGTTTCATGGAAAATTATGAACATTCTACTGTATACATATTGTAAAGGTCACAAATATGCATCATATACGATAAATGAAACAAATAAAACCGCATTGGAAATACATAGAAAAAATATTTGAAAATATATTTGTGGCAACACGCGGTGCTTGAATGGCCTGCGCGACCGTGTCTGGGAGCTTCACACACGGGCGACCAGGCCCTGATGACGTCACAGCGCACCTTGTCCACGCCCTCACAGCCAAAGTAAGTGGAATTTGGTAATTATTTTTACATAGACATGTTCAGGGACGGTAATTTATCATTTTACAAAGAAAAATTTTATTTTGGGGAACGTTTGATGTCATGCACTCTGGGGAAATTTCACAATAAACACAGTGCATCACACTGGTTACATGGGGAGACACTCGTTTTGTATGACGTCCGTTTCACATGACGAACATGGAACGGATTAAATTCGTTATGCGAGGTACCACTGTACTTGAGTAACTGTTTTGTGAATCTGGCCCCAATGTCTTCCTAGCACCAGTCTGAGTCAGTGGAGACAGTTTGAAGAGTCCCACTCACATGGTCAGTGTGGGGTTGTGTTTTGTGTGTGTGCACACACATGGGAGCGCTTGCTTGAGAAATAGTCACAAAATTAGTGTTAACGGTATTATGCTTCTAGTTAACATTTTTAATTATGAGTGCATACATGACTTGCCATATTATAGAAAGCACTCTTAGAATGGAGGAAAGGGTATAATGGTTACGAAATTTATTAAGTATGGAGTTTTCTTGACATTTGGCATATACAGGTATATTATTATTTTACTTATTGTTGAAGCCCTTCATTTTTCTACCACTCAGGGTAATGTTGTTTTATGGAAACCTTCCGACACTGCCATACTGAGCAACTTCACAATCTATAAGATAATGCGAGAAGCCGGTGTACCTGGAGGTGTTGTGAGTTTTATTCCAGCTGACGGGCCAGTCTTTGGAGATGGAGTAACCAGCTCCCCTCATTTGGCAGCCATTAATTTCACCGGATCAGTACCGTAAGTTTATTTTAAATTTCATCGTTACCGAAGGTTAAGGATACCATAGAAATATATGATATTAGTACATTAGCTTTAGTGATTATTATTGTGTCGACTTTTAAGTAAATTTATTAATTGGTCTCGTAGTTCTTTAGTCAGGCAAAATATTGTAGAGCATTCCATTTATTAAGACTATATAACTGGTGTGGATGCGTTCTCATTGCATCCGAGGTTTCTCCTAGGTTTAGGGCAACCATCCTTTCTCTCTTCTACATTCACATTCACAAGATGTTGAACAATGGGGTGATTGGCATCACACATTCTATTTGAGTTCATTCCTGCTTTTCCTGATGGTGAAGGACTTTACCATGATGAATGATCCCTAAATTGTCTGGGATCAGCACGTTTATTCTCTTTCCTACTTTCGTGTACCACATTTGTGAGCAAAGTTGACTGGATTTGTTGATGTGTCACACTTCTTGTCACTTGTCTGCCATTTGTGTCGGCCAGAAGCTCCATAACGGGTGTTGGGTTTTTACCCCTTCTTGGGTGTCCCTCTTTTGCTGTTTTGTTTGTCCCACTACATCCCCAGGGTCAACCATGGGGATTTCCTGTTCTCTATGTTCCTTTGTTTTCCTTTCTGCCCTTGTATGCTGATTTGCCATTGGGAGTAAGCTTGGGATACTCAGAAATCGAGTATTGAAAGTAATTAATGCCCTGTTTTCAGGTGGGCTTCTCGGTAGCTCTTCATTTCTGCCCTAATTCCTTCTCTTCTGTGGAGGTTTTTGGGGTTGGCTCTGTTGGCTCATGATTGAAGTGGGTGGCAGGTGGGTGCTGCACAGTTAGATTAGTTTTATATAGGCAACCATTGATTGTCTTCAAAAACAGCCAGGGTCTGGTCCTGGCTGAGTGTGCTACTGAAGACCACACCAGAAGAGGGCATTATAAGAAAAAAGAAGAAACTATGTTGAATGTATCTATTTTTGTCTCCTGTTCCCTTTCTTCTTGTTTTATTATTGTGAATGAACCTAATATTTATGGATTTGGAAAGTGTAATGATATTTGCCAGAAAGTGGCTATGTGATGATATTCAGTGGAGATGAGTACATGTCAGACTAAAGTGGAAGTGGTGTAAACTTGAAGCTTACATCCACTATGGTGTGTTACTTTGACTTTTATTTGTACTGTATCTGGAGAGGAGCTCTCTTAAAGTTTGTCCTTAAAATGTAAACTGAAAATTAAAATAGAATAATTGTAATTAAATAGGATGTCATAATTGTAGTGTCTACTACTAGTTCTGTTTGTAATGTTTTTTGTTTATACAGAACCTTCCAGCGACTGTGGTCTCAGGTTGGAAGTAATTTGCAGAATTACAAAAGTTTTCCCCGCCTGGTGGGGGAATGTGGTGGCAAAAACTACCACCTGGTGCATCCCTCTGCGGATGTTACCTCCGTTGTTAATGGCACTATACGATCAGCTTTTGAGTATTGTGGGCAGAAGTGCTCGGCCTGTTCACGTGCCTACTTCCCGATATCACTGTGGCCAGAGGTAATATTTTGGTGTTTCTCATTAAGTGTTTTTCATATAAAACAACACCTTTCCATATTTATTTATACTTTTACTGATTAACTAGACTGTTGTTTCGACAGATCAAAGAAAAACTGTTGGCTGTTCAAAAGGAGCTGAAGGTTGGTGATGTCAGAGAATTTGACTCCTTCATGTCAGCTGTGATTGATGCGAAAGCCTTTAAACGCATCAGCAGTTACATTGAACATGCCAAGACTTCTGCCAACACTTCAATTATTGCAGGAGGAAAATATGATGACAGGTGAGATTTTTTAGTGTTTATTTCTGGGATAGCCCCTTGAGCTGTTGCACTTGGGCTGGCAATTATTAGAGAATAACACCAGACCTCTGAGACCCACTAGAGCCTACCAAGAGCAAAGACCGGAATTTGGTCGTCTTTATGAGGTGAGGGAAGCTTCGAAATCAGAGATTGGCCCAAAACCAAAAATAAACGAGAGTGTAACCCTGAAGAAAGCAAAAGCAAACAATTGTTGTTGCTGTATAGAAAACTTATCTATAATGTGACTGCTACTAGACGGTTGCCCATGGCCCCCAGCAGCCAGTCACCTCATTTACAAACCACTAAAACAGCAATTGTCCCAACTTCCATGTGGTAGAAGGGAACCGGACAGTATGGAGAGCTACAGTGGCACAGTGCACAGGTTGATTCTCTTTCCTTCAGGTGTTCTTTCACCAGCATGGCAACACCTTGGCCTTTTATAATTTTTGTTTCATATCTCCAAATTGAGTACCCTCTCAGGAATACTGTATGACATTATTTAAAATGTTATCGTCAAGTTTCATGTTACTATGACAATATCTGGCATTTTAAGCTGAATTATATCATTTAGCTCCAGCATTTTTTTTATCTTGCTCTATTTTTGTTCGTATACGTGATTTTCAGGAACATGTTCCCCCTCTCCCTTTGTCCTTTACTCCCCTCCCTCTAATTATTTTGTTGGTTTGCTCTTATATACCATTTCACAGGCTTCCTGATCCCTATCATCTTGTTTAACAAAATAATTTATTTCTTCTTTCCTACTCTTAATTAGACATTTTGCTTCATCAAAGTTTAGTTTTTGCCTCAATAAGGATTAGTTTTGACCTCAATAAGGACTAGGTTTAACTTCTCTGTCTTTGTTTGAAAGGTCTCGTTTTAATGACGCATAATTTTCCATCCTCATCATTTTGCAGTTTCCTGGCATTCCTAAACACTTCTGCCATTTGTTTCACTCCATAGATGTCATCCTTAAGCAGCAATTTTTTTTATCTTTGTCATACTTATCTGTCCTCTTAAAGTCACTGACATTTTTCTTTGTTGTGAGGCCTTTTCTTAAGCCTACTATTTTCTTAATGCTTTTTACCTCTTCTGGTGCTCTGTCTATCCTAGATGGTATTTCCTTTTCCTAACACCCAAAAATTATTATGGACTGTATTATCTATATGCATATTATTCCATATTACTCTATATATTCTGTGACAGTGTATTCTGTATATATAGTATATATATTCTGTATATATAGAGTATACTCGAAGATGCTCGAAATCAGCCACTAACATGCTCAGCAAAGCTCTAGTGGTATTGAGGTTACATCAAACTGTGTCAAGTTGATAGGGGAACGAAGTTATGACAATGATGAAGGTAAATACAACGAACTGTTGACTACAGTTTGTCCTGGCTGAACACAAAAACGCACACGTAAAGTGTAACATATTGCGTATACAATATGGGTATGTCCTTACATGTAAGACAATATTATAACCTACTAAAATGTGTTGAATAGTCAGACCAAATCTAGGTGAGGTTGGGCAGTTAGGCTCTGGTGGCAATTATTGGTAGTTGTGGTATGTGGATGAAGCATCAACATGTATAGAGGTGAGATTTGAGCAGATGATGTGAATGAAGCACAGCTCGAGAAAAATACACAAGTCATCAGTTGTCATGTGTAAAGCAATATCCAATCATAAACAGGGAGGCTGGATGACATAGCAAATGGCATTTGTTGATGAGGATGGGTTATGGGTCGGAGAGAACCCATTCCAAACCTTCAAGGAAAAATGTTCAAGTCAGCCAGCTAGGACAAAGTAGTGAGTGCATGACATTCAAACAGAAGTTCAAATACTGAAACAAGTCAGAAAAAGACCACTGATTGACCACAGCAGGGTGAAGAAATTCCCCAGAAGTGAGATGGTAGCTATGACTGGTACATGGAACTAAACCCAAGGTGGGGGGGGGGGGAGCTGCCTAGAAAACAAAAGCACACCATGAAAAGGGGATAAGAAAAACTGGACCCCAGAAGCAAAAACTCCTTGCAGCATGAGCAGTGCTCTGAATGAAGTAAAGCACCTATGGGCCCACCTTGGGCTTCCTCACAGCTCCAGAAGCCAGCCAGAAAATAAAGCTGAAGAAAGTTGACGGGTCTACCACCAGAATTTTTTTTTCTTTTTTTGAGATATATACAAGAGTTGTTACATTCTTGTACAGCCACTAGTACGCGTAGCATTTCGGGCAGGTCCCTGGAATACAATCCCACCGCGAAGAATCGTTTTTACAACCAAGTACTCATTTTACTGTTGAGTTAAACAGAGGCTACAGTTAAGGATTTGTGCCCAGTAAATCCTCCCCGGCCAGGATACGAACCCATGACAAAGCGCTCGCGGAATGCCAGGCGAGTGTCTTACCACTACACTACGGAGACTGCTATGGGCCTCTACACCACGGAGATTAGTCCCAAAGTCGAGAGGATTAATTTAAGAGAAATGACAAAGAAATTTAATCTTAAGTCAATGGAAGAGAGAAATTAGAGAGGAAGCATGATAACCACATACAATATTCTCAGGGGAATTGACAGGGCAGACAGAGACAAACTGCAATATTTATCATGAGGGGGGGGGGGGGAAGAGGTACATGAACAAGGGGGTACAGGTAGGAACATATGGCCCCAGTAAGTCATATAGACAATTATTTTTTAATGTCAGTGCAGTGCACAGATAGCATGTTCTGTGAAGAAGTGAAGTGGTGGAGGTAGAGTTTATACACATCTTCATTAGGCTTTGGAATCTGCTCACCAATTCATTAAAGGTTTAGAGGCAGAATAAAAAGAACTAAAGCTCAACCTTCACATTCACAATGAAGTAATACACAAACCACCACCTCCCACACCAGGGCTGAAATTACACAAAGATGGGATTAATTTTATCATTGACTGTTGTCCACTACTGGCCAACATACGAACGGCATTCAGAATTTGTGTAAAGAATCATTCAGAACTTTGTATACCACATATGTCAGGCCAATCCTGGAGTATGCAGCCCCAGCATGGAGTCCATATCTAGTCAAGGACAAGACTAAACTGGAAAAGGTTCAAAGGTTTGCCACCAGACTAGTACCCAAGCTGAGAGGTATGAGCCACGAGGAGACACTACGGGAATTAAACCTCACTTCGCTGGAAGACAGAAGAGTTAGGGGGGACATGATCACCACATTCAAGATTCTGAAGGGAATTGATAGGGTAGATAAAGACAGGCTATTTAACACAAGGGGCACACGCACTAGGGGACACAGGTGGAAACTGAGTGCCCAAATGAGCCACAGAGATATTAGAAAGAACTTTTTTAGTGTCAGAGAGGTTGACAAATGGAATGCATTAGTAAGTGATGTGGTGGAGGCTGACTCCATACACAGTTTCAAGTGTAGATATGATAGAGCCCAATAGGCTCAGGAATCTGTACACCTGTTGATAGACAGTTGAGAGGTGGGACCAAAGAGCCAGAACTCAACCCCCGCAAACACAACTAGGTGAGTACTTGTAGCAAAGTACTCTGCCTTTCACCTCTTTTTACTGGCTTTTGTAAATTTTTGTTAAAATAGTGACTGAATCTCATGTATTCACTTGCCTAAATTATTAATACAGCTCTTATTTTTCAGTGTTGGTTACTTTGTGGAGCCAACAATTGTGCAGACAACAGATCCCCTTGACCGCATCATGACTGAAGAGATCTTTGGACCCATCCTAACAGTTTACGTGTATCCTGATGACCAAATAGATGACGTTATCAATCTTGTCAACACATCAACCCCATATGCTCTGACTGGAGCAATATTTGCTAATGATGAGTAAGCAATAATGTACACGTTGTAATTTGATTTAATTTATTTCAATTAAGTGTGATGGCACATTTGTTTGTTCAGTATGTGTGTGGATGGAATCATGAGGGAGGCCAATGTAAGACTATTAGAGAAAGGTGTACACCTAGTGTATATGCTAAATATGAGCAATTGGAGTATATCAGATGTAGCATACAAATTGCATGACAGATTTATGTAGAATGGTTGAAAATTGTATTGATCTGTGTAAGACATAAGTAGTGAATGTGGGTAAAAGAAAGTTATAATGGTGGAGAGAGAAGATAATTGCAGGTGAAATCACTGTGAATGGAGAAGTGATTAACTAGTTTAAATACCTGGTAAGGGCAGTGGTGTGGTTGGTGTAATGAAAACTCTGGTTAGAAAAACCAGCCCCTTTCTGATAGGGTCTTGAGGGCATCTCACTGAGATGGCCCCCCCCCCCCTACTGAGTCGCACCATACATATGAGTCCTGTATGGCCTACTACAGACCAGTCAGAACCTGGCTCCCTCACAGAGGCACACAGCAGGGTATTGTTATGATATTCCTCATCAAGGAAACATATAGAAAGTAAGAGAAGCAATACAGACAACTGCAAAGTTAAAAACACAAACAAAGCACTGAAGTGGCCAAATGACTGCAAAAAGTTTGGTCAAAAACTAGCTCGAACCCTCCTAGTAGTTACAACTAGTCACCAACAAGTGACAGCATCACCAGGAGCTCCCGGCCTTAGCATCATCCTTGCTACAGTTCAGGACTGATGAACCATGAACTGGCAGGGAGCGGGGAAGGATATTGCAGAGCCTACAATGCCTTACCAGAAAGGTATTTCAATATATTCACTGATGATTTTTGGAGCGGCTGAACAGTAGCTCTGTTAATCTCTTTAACAATGGAAACGAAATAAATTGTGGGACATACCAGGGAGGAGGATTTCGGCAACATAAGTCACGAAGATGAGACACTGGGACAGGAAACCCGACCTACAGCAACACAGGCTTGACAGAGACAAGAAACATTGTCCAGACAGTGACCCGCCAGAACCCTATTAAATCTCCCCAAAACCCCTTATATAGGTCCACAACATGTTGGAGAATACAGTGACCAAAACCTAGCAATTGCAAACAGCATGAGTGCAAAGGTAGACTGCAGGCTGGCTAGAATTAATGATGCCATGGACAACCTAGGATAAAAAAGCTTTAGGACAGGGAACCAAGGAAACTAGATCAACAAACTGCATCCACCAAAGCAGAGTGGGTAGCATGCAGATAGCGACAAACTGCCATGACCGACTACAACAAATAATGCACCAGGTGCTGGTAAACCAAGTACTTGGTCGGCTCGGTCGTCGACCAAGCCTCCTCGTTGCTGGACTAGTCAACCAGGCTGTTGGACGCGGCTGCTCGCAGCCTGACGTATGAGTCACAGCCTGGTTGATCAGGTATCCTTTGGAGGTGTTTGTCAAGTTCTCTCTTGAACACTGTGAGGGGTCAGCCAGTTATGCCCCTTATGTGTAGTGGAAGCATGTTGAACAGTCTCGGGCCTCTGATGTTGAGAGAGTTCTCTCTCAGAGTACCTGTTGCACCATCTGCCCATGTTTTTAGCATATTTTTGTTACTTTTTGCAGAGAACAGAAGAAAGTGAAAGAGAGAGAATGAGAACAGCTCTTGCTTGTAATTTCATCAGGTTCCTTATATGATACTTCCTTAACTATAGTTTCCTATGTGACAGTTTCAAAGTACATTCTCATGATATAAATGAGTTTCAGGAGCAGGCTTCAAATGAACTGAGGTAGGATAACAGCTCTTGCTTGCAGTTTCACTAAGCACGTCATTTAACAGCCCTTATGAACCCTAGTCTTAGTTTAAAAAAATTGAGAGAGAAAGAGAATGATAATGAGAGAGAGAATGATAATGAAAGAGAGAGAGAGAGAATGAGAATGAATGAATGAGGAGCACATATTATGTGTACTACTGTTGTGATGGTTTTGGGGATTACCACACCCGTAGCCTAGTTGCTGATGTAAGGAGATAAAAGGGTTATGAATTGTGTGGCCATGTGGAATCAATGGATGGATAAGTAAAGAATGTGTGTACCAAAAAGTTGGGAAAGATGGGTAGGTATGTTCCAGGAGAGGGTTTTGGGAGTTTTTCTATTTCCTGAGCCCTGCCTGAGGCCATACAAGACCATTTTTTCAAATGACAAAGATAATAGAGGAAGGAGACAAGGATGTTTGTGGAAATGAAGAAATTTTTGTCATAGTATAATAATTGTACATGTTCATGGATGTAAATTATTAAATCCTCTAATACAATTCAACAGGGCATGGTTGGCAAAAGCAACAGAGGCATTAAAAGATTCTGCGGGTAACTTTTATATCAACGACAAATCAACTGGATCAGTAGTAGCACAGCAACCCTTTGGAGGAGCACGTATGTCAGGTAGGTTATGGCTATTGGAAATTATGGAAGTGTTTTAATTATGGTCTAAATGTAATAGGTATTCAGTAACTAAAAGCTATGTATGTATGTGTATATTCACCCAGTTGTTTGCATGGCTTAAATTACATATTGTGGTACCTCTCTTTATCATCTTTCTTCCTTTTTATTCTTGTCAACACAAAAGATTGTGGGATTAGAGTAACAATTTCCAAAATTAATTTCACAGGCTAACAGCATTTCCTCACCATCTCAAAATATAGCATGACCCTGACATTTAATTTATTATTCAGCAGATTTGACGGTGAATACTTGATTTTTGCAGATGATTCCTCAATAAGTGGACTACTAATGTATAGGGGACTGGAGCTATTTCAAGCTTTCTGTTGTATCAAGATTTTTTTTAATTTATTATCTTCTTACGGGAGAGCCCCCTCAGTGGCTTCCTGAGCTACAATATAGCATTGAAGCTGTCAAACATTACTGAATCACATCAGACTTCTAAGACCCACTCAAGCCAACCAGAAGCCAGGACCAAAATTTGGTGCTCTCTATGGAAATAAGAAGGCTTGGGGATCAGTGTAAGCATAAAACCAGTGTTGAATGTGATGAAACCCCATTTTCTGGGTACCATTATCGGAAGGGTCATGCTAGGGTTCGAGGTTCCTTCAGTCATGGTGGGCCAGTAGTGCCAGATTCAGGCCCGGCCCCTCCTTCGGAGCCGAAAGCGTCTGATTGCCTCATTGTTCGCTCTGTCCGTCGTTCGGCTTCTCATAAGGGTCATTGGCCCTTTTGCGGTTCACTCTGTTGACGTGGCGATGGGATGGGAGGGGGGAGGAGGCTCGCTCTGTTTGCCCACACTTGGTCCCACAATTTGTGGGTGTTTCAGGTCATTTCTTCCACCCTCAAGGGTGGAAGAAATGACCTGAAAATGGCGTTAGGTGGCTCCTCCTCCTTCAGGGGGTTCGGGGCTGACGGGGCAGGCCGCCTCTTCTGCACTCTGCCAGGTCATCCTGGAATGGGTGCGCTTGGGCGTGGTTGAAACAACGACGTCCTTCAGGTGGGTTTCCTGCCTGTTTCCAGTGCTAAAACGGGACTGTGCAAACCCGAGGTTCATTCTGGACTTGTCCCATCTAAACCACTGGTTTCCCCTCCCCTCCCTCCTCTTTTCAATTGACCACTCAGTCCCAGGTCCGGCTTCTTTTGGAGCCAGATGCTTGGATGGGGTCTCTGGACCTTAGGGATGCATACTAGCACGTCCTAATTCATCCAGTGTTCAGGCTCTGGCTCAGTTTTGTTGTGGGGCGGTGCGCTTACTGTTTTCATTGCCTTCCTTGCAGTTTGAATCTGGCTCCTCGCGATTTCACATGCCTTATCCAGGTCGTGGTGACCCGTTTGCATCTGCTAGGGGGTTCGGATTATGGCCTACCTCGACAACTGGCTGGTTTGGGCTTCCAGCTGGTCTGCGTGTCTGCTCGCCAGGGATTTCGTTCTTTCCCAGCTCGCAGGGTTCGGGTTCGTGGTGAACTAGGGGAAGTCCCACTTGGTTCCCTCTCGGGTTTGAACTTCGCTGGGTCTTGTGTGGGACTCTCGAACCTCTTCCTTGTCTTTCCCTCCAGCGGCGTTGCTACGACTGCAGTCCCGCCTTCGGCTGTTTTTGGAGGGCACCTGGGTCACTCGTTGGTTTTTCTAGCAACAACCGACGAGTCGGAACTGGCTTCGGCGGCTGTTCTGGTTCCATCGGGGACACCCCTTCCGCTACTCTCGTGATCGCTGGGTTCGGATCCCGGGGGCCTTGTGTCGGCTGTTGTGTCGTCAGCTCCTCCTCGGGTTTTCTGCCATTGGGGTCGATGCCTTTAGGCAGAGCTGGTTGAGGTGGGGTTACCTGTACCTCTTTCCCCCATCCAGCTGTTGCTTTGGGTTCTGGCTTAGTTGGAGACTTACCAGAGAAGAGTAGTCCTGTTGGCCCCTTAGTAGCTGGCCCAGCCTTGGTTTCAGGTGCTGCTTGCTTGGTGTCCAAACCCGGGGTTCTTTTCCCAGCTCCGACTCTTTCAGCAGATCGTTCCTGTCCGCTACGTGGCTGGTTCGATCTTCTCCACTCTGTGTCTGTTATTTTTGACACGGGCTTATCACTACTTGTATGGTGATCAGGGTGCTTCATTGATGGTGTCCCACCTGCGTGTTTTGTCTGGGCAACAGTATAAAGTTTCCTGGCGGTCCTTTTGGCACTTTTTGTCTCTTCATAGGTTGTCTTCGATTTCTGATCGGGTTGTTTTGTCCTCTCTCTTGTCTGTTTCAGGACCATCATCTTAAGCTGAATACTGTCGCCTTGTTTTATGTGGTGTTGGCGGAGCTGCTTCAGCTTGTGTTCTGGGTGGATATCACTTCTGCTTCGTTCCGCAAGCTGTCTCGTGCATTGTTTCATCTCTGGCCTGCTCATGCGCCACCTGAGCCATCCTGGTCATTGGACTGGATGCTCTCTTCTCTCTCTCTCTCCTCCTCAGTTTGTGGTGGCCCCTTTAGTTCAGGATTGTTTTCTAAGGCTCTCTTCGCATTGGCATCTGAGGGTCTGGTTGGGGAGCTTCATGCTCTCCTCCGGCACAGGGGTATCCTGCTCTTTTGTCCTAGTGGTCAGTTTGTTCGTTTGCAGCTGATTCCTTCTTTTCTGGCGAAGAATGAGACTGCTGTTTTTCAGAGGAGTCCTTGAGTTGTTGATGCTTGGTTGGTTTGGCCGAGGGTGCATCATATCTTGTCCGGTTGCAGCTCTTTACCGTTACAGTACTTGCGCGTCACGGCCTCGGTGGCTGGGGACACTCTTTTGATAGACCTGGTTTCCTTTTTTACTTGCTCCAGGGCGCAGGTCTCTCAGGTCGTCTGAAGGGTTATATGGTCCAACCAGCCTGCGGTCTATCACCGTGCCAACGACGTTCATAAGTTCGCGGCTTTGGCTGCTGTTATTGGTAACATATCTTGGGCTGACATTCGAATGCGTGGTTTTTGGCGGTCGAACAGAGTCCTGGCCGCACGGTACCACCTTAATGGGACGCCTACCTTTCTAGATGCCTAACTCAGTAGATGACAGACATAGAATGCTTCCAACCACATGGGGGTTTCTATAGGCCATTGCTCCTCTTGCCGCTCTGAGGGGGAAACGTTCTGGCTCACGGTCCCTGCTAGGCTTAATACTCCATTCGAATTGACTGATGCCATGGTCTAATACATACATATTAGCCCGGAATAGCTCCGAGAAGCCTCCTGGACTCGCCCAGAAAATGGCGTTTCATTACATTCAACCCTGTTTTTTTTTTGTGTGTGTGAGAGCCCTTTTGTGAGCTGTCTCACCAAGATAGCTCTCAACTACTAGGTCACATCGGCTGTGGAGTTCTGTTCGACCTACCTGAGACCAGAGCCAGAACCTGGAACCCTCCCCTCCCCTCCCCCCCCCCCCTCGCACATAGGTGAAGAGGGCAGGTGATACTCCACCATCTCACCAAGAAAGCATTTAGAGTAAACAAATGCCTCACCAGGAAAACAAAATTGACCACAACACAGTAAATTTTCATTTTTTCATTATAGAATTATTAATTTGTATGCGTAATGTAAGAAAAACATGAAAACAAGTGAATATTTATTGTTTCACTGGGTGGAGGCGCTCTGCAAGGCTGTGTCTGGCTCTTGTCAATGCCTGGTGCTCAACTATGCTGATGCTTCCTGTTTTATCCTTCCATGTTTCATTTATTGTTATATCACTTGTTTTTCTTTATTTACATCCACAGAGCTTTTATATCCATGTTTGCATCATACATGTAAAACCCAGATAATAATTTTTTAAATCTTCATATGACAAAAACCGCATTACCCTGTGAATCAACAATTGACAATAATCGCTGTCTAAGGGTTATTCATGATTTTTTATGTTAATTCCACAAATTTGTCTTGGTGCTTGGTGTACAAATTGATCACTAATGCCTGTTCTACCCATGCAGGCCATTGGCTATATCCAGTCCTATATTGCTTTTTCGAGCCAGCCAATTTCTTTCCTTGATGGATCCTATTTTCAAATTCTACCACTTTTAGCACATTGCCATTAAAATTGATTTCATACAGAACTTCCTTCTTTTTTCACAATCATAACCTTGCTCTAGTCAACATTCACATTTAACAAGTCTTCTTTCACACACCACAATAAAATGCTCAACTTCCATAAATCTCTCTGCTAAACGAACCTTTATCGAAAACTTGTGCACTACTTTTTCTACCGGTCTCAAACATACTTCCCTCATAACCCCAATGATGTAAATACTGTATTGAATATCAAGATGATGATAAACTACTCTGATGTACCTGTAAATTAATACCAAACATCACTCTTGTGCCATTAACTCTTGTCCATGCACTATTTCTCCCATAAAAAGTTTTACAGCATTTAACAAAACTCAGCCAACTCCATACATAATCACTATTTTTTTTTTTTAAATTCAATAAGTGCCATGTATACTTTACAATTCTTCATGCCCACCTACTCCACAAATTGTATCAATGCAATTATCTGGTCAAAACACATGAAACCTCCATGTTCATTAATTAATTTGTCATATCCTGTAGTCAACCACTATCGTGCAATAAAGTTTAAGCTACACTGTGTAAACTAATGCCTCAACAACTTATAATAATTATAGTGATAATTCTGTATGATTAATTTGACACTGTTTACCTGAAGAAAATTGTTTGTTTTTCTACTCTGGTGGTTGCCTTATTTCGGTCAATTTGTGTTAAGATGTCCACAGAGCAGTCATAACCCAGCTGATGATTAATTTGCATTTTTCCTTCCCAGGAACAAATGATAAGGCTGGAGGTTTGCAGTATGCTCTCAAGTGGACTTCCCCTCAATCCGTCAAGCAGACCTTCGTTCCGCTGACTAACATAAAATATCCATATATGGGTTAATTCATGTGTAGCAGTTGTGGATGATGGGAGGCTGATCACTATATCTTGTCCCTCCACATTTTGTGCACCCTTAGTCCATATTAGACTCGGTAGAATACCTGTTGTCCAGTATGAAGAAAATTACAGTCGTTTTGGAGGATAATTCAGTAATACAATATTTGCTGCTGCTGACTTGTAATTTTATTTTTAGAGTTTCTGCCAGTAAATCTTGTACTTAACACTAGCATCCTTCCTTCCCCAGAAAAATCATAAATGGATGATTGAACAAGATGACTTGTATAGATTTACAGACACTAAGGCAATGTTTGCAAATGTTTTTAGTATTATTATAACAACATTCTATGTATTGTTACTTTAAGATACATATTTTTATGTATTTAAAGAAACTTTCCACTTGATTTAAAACCATTTAACTTAAAAATATTGAAACAATTTGCATCCTAATGCTAAGAATTTTGCTGCTCCCAATTTTGAATAACTGGTTCGGTATTCTACCGAATAATATGCAAATTTCCTGACTTGTCTTAATACCCTTGATGTTTTCAACCTCTAAACAAAGGTATGGAAAGGTGCAGCGTCATGGAAGAATATATATTTACGATGTTTTGTTCACGCAGGAGTCGTTGCAGGACAAAACAAACTGAGCATAATTAAAACTTCAAAACTAGTAAAGAAACAAAACCTGCATTTAGAAGCAGAGTTAGTGTAGAACTGCCTCTTTGTTATACTGTAATGTGATTACCTACTAAGGTCACAGTGATCCCAAGCAAAATGATTTGTTATAGGAGATGTATAATAGTATGTGAAGCACTAGCAGAATGGGATATCAAATTAGAGCCTGAAGCAATAGTCAAATGGTGAAAACAATGATTTGTTTTATTGTTTTGCAGGTTTATCCCCCACTCAACCTGACATATCTGCATAGAAAAAAACTTCACTAGATGCACTATGCCAATTACAATAGGTTCATGAAATGTTTATAAATAAACAAATTGTGGCAGGAGTAACATTTCAGCTATTTTTACAAATGTGAGGCTACATGTGGTCAGTTTTTACTTTACACATCATACAGTAATTGTTATGTAAATACAGTTGTATTTTACAACTGTACATGTCTGTCTGTGTACATGTTTAAAGGTACAAATGCATTTACTGAACTAATTTGTATTCAAAGAATTGTGATCATGCTGGTACATAAGCAAGCACTTTGAGCATTAATTTATTCAATTCTCTAGAATACTGCACAATGATAGCTTAAGACCTTTTGTACCATTTATATTTTAAGATAAATTATGTTATTTGTGGATAAGCTTAGAAAATGCACTATAATTCTAGGCATATTTTATGGTCATTCCATAAACTGTAGACAGGGAGCAGAGTACAGTAATTAAGGAACATGACCTTTAAGAACTTTCAGGGGGTATTGTTAAGCATCTCATTGTTAACTCGATAGCAAAGTTGTTGGTTAGAGAATTGACCGATTAATTTTGGTGTGATCACCTTTGCCATCTGACAACTTGAAATATCATTCCTTGATCTTCCATGATATTATGCCTTATGTGATAGCACACAAACACAATTTCCAATGATTACAGAATATCACTTGAATCAAATTAGTCTTAATTGTACGAGCAAAGTAGATTGCTTCTGCGATTTTAAGAATTTATTTAATTCAATAACTTTGACAATATTACAATAATGTTTATAAATAATACTGTATATATGATACTCTATACATGAAAACTATATTGGAATTCAGATGGTGAAAGTTTATTTTATCAATGTTAGACAAGATTGTAGCCTATATCTGTGACATGGCATAAACACTTTTAGAACTTAAATAACTACTTCTGTAAAAATAAATGGAGAGTTATTTTATGCTCACCACAGTTAGTCTTTCATTGTATAACCCAAACTCTTTGGAAATTGTTAACGAGTGCCCAAACTCTTTGGAAATTGTTAATGAGTGCAGCTACCTAAATAATCACACAAATTTATTTTCTCTACACATACTGACCATGCAAGATAAACATGGATGACAGCAGCTCATTTATTACTGCTGCTACTGTGAAAACTGAGCCACACAAATGGCATTAGTTTTGAATACTTTATTTCCCAAGGTGTAAAAAAATGTTTTCAATAAAATTAATGTTGACACAATGTTTTAGTAGAGAAATTCATCCTTAAGTAAACCATGATATTTTTTCATAAAGATACATGTGTATATAATGTAGAATAATATTTTAGGACTACAGTACAGCATGATACTTGTCAATGTCATAATCACTGGAAAAATATTTCATGCCAACAAATAATGCTAGAAACAATTAAGTTTATAAGAACAGTGGAAACTGTAGAAGTGCTATTGCCCCATGTGAGGCAGCTAATACCCAACCAGATTTTCTAACGCACGCACACATGTAACCTATTCTTAAGACAATCCAGAGAACCAAAAGCTATTTCCCAGTAATCTGTTCCATAAATCAACGACCCAGTTTCCAATCTAGAATTACCAAAAATCTTTTCTGAATCTTGACATATCCAATTACAGTAGTATGTTTCGGTTTATTTTGTGTCGATATATTTAAATTCTTATTAATATCTTCTTTAATGAGATGTTGAGATGTAAGTCTCATCCTAATCACACACTCGGACCTTGATAAAGCACTCAGGAAAGACCGAAAGACTTTGTGTAAATTCTTTACATAAATTTCACAAATACACAAGTGTGGGTTTTTATCCTTTTATTATATCTGAGAAGATATTACCATTAATAATATCTCCTTTGTTATATCCTTTTAACCTTGATATATATCTCATGTCATTCCCTTACTCTGCCTTGCTAGAGAATGTAAATTAAGCATTTTTAATTAAATTTAGTTGTTTTGCTATGAAATAATAAAATATACTCAGATTTAATACAAGTACTGTACTGTAATTATTTTTCAAGTAATTATCAAAAGAAGGCACCAAACCGAGAAGACTACAGTGGTACCTCCATTTACAAATTTAATCCGTTCCCAGAAAAGGCTCATAACCGGAAAATTCGTAACCTGAAACAAATTTTCCCATAAGAAATAATGTAAGTTGAATTAATCCATTTCACTCCCAAAAATATTAACTTCAAAATACATTTCATACATAATACTGACAAATATTTTGTACTATAATATGTACAAGTCATAGCTTATCTTAATTGATGACTTTTTGGCATATGGAAGAAGGTGAGGAGAGGTGTTAGTATTTGGAAGGGGAGTTCCCTTCCATTATAACATCAGGCAGTGATGACTTCTCTGGGGTACACTCTCTCCTACATTTTACAGGCATACCACTAGACCCCTGGTTGTGGCTCACTCCTTGCTTGTCTTACTAAGACTGTCTAAAGACAAACAAGAAATAACTGTACACTGCAAAATATGTCATTTGCTCTAAAATCATTATTTACTTTGCAATAAAAATCATTCCAGAACTGTTAACTCTGATACCAGGAACGGGTGAGGCCCACAGGACTAACAACAATGCAAACTAGACATGACAGGACTGATTTCATTGGAACTTTGAAAATACTGAACAATCTGGAGGTTGTTGATCCAGACAATTTCTTCAAAAGGTCAGATTTAACACAAACAAGGAGCAACGATTTCAAACTCAACAAACCACATTGTATGACTAAGAACAGGAGATGCTTTGATTGATTGATGAAGATTAAGCCACCCAAGAGGTAGCATGAATAGCCCGTACAGATGATTTTTTTTCACCCAAAGGAATATATACGCATGGAACCGCCTACCCGCCGAAGCCGTAAATTCCAAAGTTCCGCTGAACTTTAAAATCCAGCTTGAATAAAATCATCAGGATATGTGGTGGGACCTTTAACAAGCCGCTAGCTTCCTGTCCTCATCGAGGCCACTAAAGTGTTAGTGACCCTCAGGTAAATTCAGATAAAAAAAAATTGTAGAATGTGGCACCATCGTATTTACGTCGCTTACTAAACTTTAGTTCATTATTTGTACAAATTCAATTTAAATTTCTTGCTTATTGTGATTTGTCATATTTTCTACACTTGTGTTAATGTCCATCAAACCTTGTTATATATTATTAAATTGTATAAGATGCAAGAGTTATGTTGCATCTTGCACCACCCAACGCTGTCCTGTTGTTGGCCGACCCCAGGGTGGGTGCGGGGGCCCTCAGTCTCCCGGGCGGCTCACTGTCAGCCAGGTGTGTGTGTGTGTGGACCAGTTGTCTCGCAGTCAGGTGTGTTGACTAGTAGCCTTGCTGCCTCACAGTCAGCCAGGTGTGTAGACTGATAGCCCCGCTGCCTCACAGTCAGCCAGGTGTGTTGACTAGTAGCCCTGCTGCCTCACAGTCAGCCAGGTGTGTAGACTGATAGTCCCGCTGCCTCACAGTCAGCCAGGTGTGTAGACTGATAGCCCCGCTGCCTCACAGTCAGCCAGGTGTGTAGACTGATAGCCCCGCTGTCTGACAGTCAGCCAGGTGTGTGGACTGATAGCCCCGCTGCCTGACAGTCAGCCAGGTGTGTGGACTGATAGCCCCGCTGCCTGACAGTCAGCCAGGTGTGTGGACTGATAGCCCCGCTGCCTGACAGTCAGCCAGGTGTGTGAACTGATAGCCCCGCTGCCTGACAGTCAGCCAGGTGTGTGGACTAATAGCCCCGCTGCCTGACAGTCAGCCAGGTGTGTGGACTAATAGCCCCGCTGCCTGACAGTCAGCCAGGTGTGTGGACTGATAGCCCTGCTGCCTGACAGTCAGCCAGGTGTGTAGACTGATAGCCCCGCTGCCTGACAGTCAGCCAGGTGTGTAGACTGATAGCCCCGCTGCCTGACAATCAGCCGACCTGACAGCTAAGTGTGTACTCACCTAGTTTTGCTTGCGGGGGTTGAGCTTTTGCTTTTTGGTCCCGCCTCTCAACTGTCAATCAACTGGTGTACAAATTCCTGAGCCTACTGGGCTCTATCATATCTACATTTGAAACTGTGTATGGAGTCAGCCTCCACCACATCATTGCCTAATGCATTCCATTTGTTAACTACTCTGACAAGCAGGTGTGTGTGTGTGTCAATTGCCTCAGGCAGGTATGTGGACTAGTAGTCCTGCTGCCTAACAATCAATCAGGTGTGTGGACCAGTTGCCCTGGAACAAGATTTTGTACTTGTAAATAGCACAAGAGAATGTGTAGAGAATGTGTGTGTGTGTGTGTAGTATTTACCTGAAATTACATGAGGGGTCACTAATACTAGTGGCCTTGACTAGGACAGGAAGGTCAGGCTTGTCGAGGTCTTCCATTTGCTCTGATGATCTTTTCCAGTTGTATTTTAAAATCTAACAGAGTTTGGCATTTATGGCTTTGGCAGGTAGGCAGTTCCATGGGTTTATAACCTTGTGAGTGAAAAAGCTTCTCCTCTTCTCAGTCCCATATTGTGACTTTTTTGATCTTGAAATTGTTGCTCCTCGTTCGTGTTACATCTGACATTTTGAAGAAATTGTCCGGATCAGCATCCTCCCAATTGTTAAGTGTTTTAAAAGTTTCAATGAAATCTGCCCTGTCATGCTTGGTTTGCAGTGCTAGCCCCGTGGCCCTCAGCCCCGTGGCCCTCAGCCCCGTGGCCCTCAGCCCCGTGGCCCTCAGCCCCGTGGCCCTCAGCCCCGTGGGCCTCAGCCCCGTGGCCCTCAGCTCCGTGGCACTCAGCCCCGTGGCCCTCAGCCCCGTGGCCCTCAGCCCCGTAGCACTCAGCCTCTTGGCCCTCAGCTCTGTGGCACTCAGCCCCGTGGCCCTCAGCCCCGTAGCACTCAGCCTCTTGGCCCTCAGCTCTGTGGTGCTCAGCCCCGTGGCCTTCAGCCCCGTGGCCTTCAGCCCTGTGGCCCTCAGCCTCGTGGCCCTCAGCTCTGTGGCGCTCATACGAGAGATGACTTGGCTCTGGAATTATTCTTGTTGCCCAATATTGTACCTTCTCCAGCATGTTTAGGGATTTAAACAGAGGGGCTGTGTGTCATATGAAGACAGAGTTTGTTATAGTTCTTATAGCAGATTTTTGCTGGGTGATGTTGCTTGAGGTAATTTAGCAGAAATTAGCATTAGTAATGAACAATTAGCATTAACAATAAGACATTATTCTTCACCTGTATATTGCCATTGTTAGGCCCCATTTAGATTATGCTGTTATTTTGGTAACTTTTCTATATAGAATGGACATGAATTAACTTAGGAGATTAAAAAAAGCTTAATTTAAGAGATGAGGGATGAGCAGCACTGGCAAACAAAGGACACAGCACCCAATGCCTGACCATGACACCAAAAAGCGAGGGCAAAGACTATGGGGTACCCACACCCAGGGAGGGCTGCCAAAAACACAAGCACCGTCAAACTCAACAAAACTGAGGAGGGAAACCAATGAACCTGGGAAGAAGAGGTGAAAGACAGATGGGTGACCAAAATTCAAACATGTCCTTGGCTGAGTATCCATTATTACAGTCCCTGGACCACTTCTGTTTGCAATATTGCCAATGCAGTATGCCCTACCACTCACAGTGGTCATCAACATGATAAAAAGAGCAACAAACATAGATTTTAGGTGAATTCTGCTGAATTATTGGTGCGTCTAACTCAACCTGTTAGACAGGGAATTAGTGCTCAGTTCTACCAATATTTATGTGATATATATAGTTACCGTAGCATGATTATGGTTCCCTTTAATGGGGATGATAAATTTTATATGAGGGAGAAAGGATCACAGATACAAATGTGTAAAAGAAACTAATTTATTACTTACTCTTACATATTATACATGGTCTGGGGGTTTCTTTTTACTCTGAAGCATCATACACAAAGCTATTAAAGAGTATTGGCCTCGCAGACCAATACAGTACTTACTTAGACCACGGGTGGTCTAAGTAAGGTGCCCCTAATCTTAACACTGCAATTATGACACATTCCATTATATGGCTACCTAAAAATGCTGTAGTTCAAGGGGTTCACAGGAGCTCCAATTGGATATTAAGGACATTAATTTACATGCATATTATGGCCTACATGTGTGGAACTAATCACATAAATTGTGCACTCTACTTAGTGGCACTCATGAGTTATCATTCAAGTCGACTTGTGAATTTTAACCTATGAACTACAGTACCTGTAGTCTTTACAGGTACATTGCACAACCTGTTGCAGGTGTTTGCAATTTGATCTAACTGGGCCACCACATGGGTGCCATGTTTGTAAGACAAATGTTACACAGTGAAATTGTAAACATGTTAAACACCAGCACACACAGGATTATATTATTATTATCTAGGTATAATTGGTGTCCCAGATACTATCAATATACTAAGATGTGTAAGAGGGTTCAGAGTTATGAATATGTATTGACAAAAGATAACAAATCTAGTCCATTATGAGACTGGTTTGATCTATTCCTCGAGTCTTCGCGTCTGGTCTTTTTGACTCGAGTCTATCACCATCTGTATAGTGGTCAGGTGGCTTCTTTGATGGTGTCTCGCCTGCAGGCTTTGTCTTGGCAGCAGTATGAACTTTCCTGGCGGTCCTTCCTATTCTTTTTGTCTCTTCGTCGGTATACATCGCTTTCTGTTGAGGTTGTTTTGTCCTTTCTCTCGTGGTTGTTTCAGGACAGTCATCTTATACTGAATAATGTCGCCACATATAGTGCAGTGCTGGCGGAACCGCTGCAGCTTGCATTCGGCATTGATGTTACGTCTGCTCTGTCTCGCAAGGTGTCTCATACGTTGTTTCACCTCCGGCCTGCTCATGCGCCGCTTGAGCCATCCTGGTCCTTGGATCAGGTTCTCTGTTATCTATCTTCTCCTCGGTTTGTTGTGGCCCCCTTTGGTTCAGGATTGTTTTTCCAAAGCTCTTTTCTTGTTGGTATTGGCCTATGGGGGTCAGGTCGGGGAGCTTCATGCGCTCCTCCGGCGCAGGGGTTTCTGCTCTCTTGGTCAAGGTTTGTTTATTTGCAGCCGTCTCCTTCTTTTCTGGCGAAGAATGAGACCACTGTGTTCCGGAGGGAGTCTTGGGTTGTTGATGCTTCGTTGGTCAGGCCGGGGGTGCATTGTGTGTTATGTCCAGTTGTGGCTCTGCACCGTTATTTGCGTGCCACGGCCTCTGTGACCAGGAACGCGCTTTGGGTTGATCCAGTTTCCCTTCTTCCCTGTTCCAGGGTTCGGGTATCTCAGGTTGTAATGAACGTTTATGTTACATTGTTTGGTAGATTAGATAAAGTGTTTAGTGAGTTTCATATTTATTTAGTAGTCCTGGATACAGCAGTGTCGTAGACATTGAGACTGAGATTGGAGCAGAGCAGAGAGCTGAATGTGGCCGGAGTCGCGGAGCTTTATGTGGGAGAGCGTTGTAGCTCGATGCGGTCCTAGTCTGCTGCCTGTTCTGTGTCGAAGCTGTAGCGTCTTGAGACGATTAGAACTGCCTATGCCGAGTGCTACATTCTTGACTAGAAATTGTACTGTTGACTATTCGCAATTCGCTTGGTTATATTCGGTGACTACACCTCAGCTTCCTCCACTAGGAGAGGTGGATGGAAGAACTGTTACCTGTAAATAGGGATAGGATTGTAGCTTGTGTAGTTAGTGCTAATTAGTTATGCCATTAAGACAATGAGATAATGGAGCGAGTCTAAGGTTTACCCGCTACAAGGTCATCCACAGGGTTATATGGTCTAGCCAGCCTGTGGTCTATCCCCGTGCCCCTGATGTTCGTAAGTTAGCTGCGCTTGCTGCCATCTTCGGTAACGTGTCTTGGGCTGACATTCGGGCACAGGGTTTTTGGCGGTCAAACAGGGCCATTTACAAGGCTGCACGCTACCTCGTAAATGTTCCTGGGCCTAGTTGGTCCTGTGTCGCTTTGGGTCGGCGGTTGCAGCCTGTTGTCTCGACTTTGAGTTAAGGAATGAGTGCCTTTCACCTCCCGGATAAGTCCTTCTTTTTTCATCTTTTGTGATGTAGCTCCGGGAACCAAAGGGGTTCCCCCAAGAAAACCAGCATTGAATGTAATGAAACATCAATTTCTGGGCGAGACCTGGAGGCTCCCCAACAACCCTCCCTTCCCCCGGTCGGTGGTTTTTTCGCGTGTTTTGATATCCAGCCTCGAACTGGGGTGTGGATAGCCGGTGCGAGGGATGTGGGGCTCCCCCTTCCCCCTCCTGGGAAGGGGGGGGGGAGCGGTGCAGACAGTGCAAGGGATCTGGGGCTCCCCCCCTTCCCCCCTTCCCCCTCCCGGGAAGGGGGGGAGCTGCGTAGACAAGCGGGACGGCACGTGTGACATCATGTTCGTTTTCTATTGGGGAGTTCTGTCCACTCGTTAGTTTTCAGTAGTAGTTTTAACCAGAATAGGGGTTTGTTTTGAGGCACTTACCTTTCTGGGTGCCTGGCCCAGTCAATGGCACATAGAATGCTTCAAATCATATGTGCACTTTTATAGGCCATTGCTCCTCGTGCCTCTCTGAGGGGGCCAGGTTCTGGCTTGTGGTCCCCGGTAGGCCTAGAACTCCATTCACACTGACTGATGCCAAAGTCTAATAATACCAGTATACACATCAGCCTGGATAGCTCCGGGGAACCTCTGGGTCTCGCCCAGAAAATGGTGTTTCATTACATTCAACACTGGTTTTTTGGCCTCTCTAGAAACAGGCATGTGAAGCTAACAAACAAAAGCACAGGTCCCCCACACAAGACAGTTTCCTTGGGATGGACAAAACTTAGCCGAGTGCTGAAAACCCGGTGCCTGCAGAGCCAGGAAGAACCAGAGTCCTGGGCCATGGGACACACCAGGTGGATGAATGAGGTAGCTGCCTCAAACCTCTGGGTTGTTAGGCTGCCATCTGGTGGCAATGGTGTGGAGCTGGCAGTTGTTCTGGACAACAAGTGTGTATATAGTTTGAATCCGGGTTGCAAATATTATCCAAGACGCTGCTTTGTTGCATTCTTCCTTTCTTTTTTTCTTTTTCCCCCATTAGTCACTGTATTGGCCTAATACTCCCCAGACATCTTTTGCCACTATTGAGGGGACCAGGTTTTGGTACTGGTATGCAACAAACAATAGAGCCTATCATCTAAACCTGGGTTTAGAGGACTCCAGGTGGATAGCATAAGAAGATAGAGGAAGCCCTCTCAGAAAAGGGCATTTCATTACATTCTATGCTTGATTTTTGATTAGTCAAATTTTTCAAATTTCAGAATGAGTTTAAGGCCAGTATCACATGCAGAACTATAGTCTAATGCTTGAATAACTATGTCAAGGAAACCAAGGCAGTTGAAGAAGAAGAAGAAGACAGAGAGAAACAATAATTATCCTACAATATGTAGCGGTATGTAAACCCATAGTGGAAAAATATTCTCACTAATTTGCCTCTGCCTGGTTCTGTATGCATATGGGCCTAGTATCCATGGCACATTTCTGTGACATGGATACTTTATTGCACATGTTCCTCATGTTTAGTTGTGTGGTAATGCATGTGTGTGTAAAATTGGTTAATCTATATTGTGTATAATTTTGTGGGAATCCTTGCCGCCGCCCCTGAAGCAATTTTGCTGAGGTACCCTCCCACTACAGAGTCAAATTAGTCGTAGGAGGCCTGTTTGGCTACCAGGCACCAGAGCCAGAACTTTGCATCCTCCTCACAGAGGCACAGAGAGCTAGGGATTGTTATGATCACCTTCACAGAGATAGTATCCAGGAAGTAAGCAAAGCAATAAAAAAACAACTGGTTCACAACACAAAGCACTGAAACAGCCAATCGACTCTATAGATGATTCATACAGAACAAATGCTTCACGCGAAACTAGCTAGAACTCTTAATGCAAATGGCCGCCAACAGGTAGCGTCCTGTAGCTCATCACTACCAGCCACCTCTGTCAGTCCCATTGGTGATGTAGAACATTTTGGTTTTCCCTCCTGAGTTGCCTCAGCATTGCGGGTCCCGCCTTTTTTTTTTTTTTTTTTTTTTTTAGATACTGGAATACGACCCCCACAAAGAATCGTTTTTACAACCAAGTACCGTACCCATTTTACTGTTGAGTTAAATAGAGGCTACAGTTAAGGATTTGCGCCCAGTAAATCCTCGCCAGCCAGGATACGAACCCATGACATAGCGCTCGCAGAATGCCAGGCGAGTGTCTTAACACTACACCACGGAGACTGATCATTTCTCGAAGAAGTGCAGGCCATTCTTTGGACATTGATTGCCCTGTGATGGGCCATTTGTTTGTTTATCATTCCTACATTTTTTTAGTATTTGCTTCATGAGTAAGTGCTTATTTGCCACACTTCTTACATGAACTAGGTCTACTCTTCATTACAAGCTGCCTTTGTCTAGACGAGTGTTTGGGTGACACTTTCCCAGACACTCGTGTAGCATAGCTTCTGCACTGACCATGTCTTCTCTGGTAATTACCTAGATGTAATTGCCTGTGTGTTGTACAAGATGAGAGCTATGCTCATTGTGTCCCATTTTCTTAGTACTGTACTCTTTTGCCATATGACACTTTTTTATTTTTATTTATTTATATACAAGAGTTGTTACATTCTTTGAAAATACTGGTTTTGGCAGCCACCACCACCTCACTTAAATTGTTCCAACTATCTACCACTGTTTACAAAAGTGATCTTGCTAATGTTTTTTGCAGCTTTGTTTCCTTAGCTTAAATCATTGACCTCTAGTTCTTGAAGTTCCAGGTTACATGAATTCTTCTTTATCAATTTCATTGATTCCTATTTCTATTTTGTATGCAGTGATCACATCACCTCTTTTATTTCTTCTATCTTCTAGCCTTGGCATACTTAACACCTCTAGCCTCTCCTCATAGCTCTTACTTTTCTGTTCCAGAAACCATTTTGGTTCATTTTGGAAACCATTAGTGGGCACCACACTAGAAACAAGTATCTATTTGATATTCCAAGAGTACAACATAACCAATCTAGAAATGCTCTGCGAATCAAGGTACCCAGAATGTGGACTAACCTCCCCAATCATGTCAAAGACTGTACCCCTCTCAATCAGTGTAAGAGAAATACTAATTACTAACTAATCAACACCATGTAACCTACCTTACCTTCTAAATGTAAACGTATGTCTTGCTATTTTCATACAAAACTGTCATACAAAACAGTCTCCATGGTGTAGTGGTAAGACTCTCGCCTGGCGTTCCGCGAGCGCTATGTCATGGGTTCGTATCCTGGCCGGGGAGGATTTACTGGGCACAATTCCTTAACTGTAGCCTCTGTTTAACTCAACAGTAAAATGTGTACTTGGATGAAAAAACGATTCTTCGCGGCAGGGGATCGTATTCCAGGGACCTGCCTGAAACGCTACGCGTACTAGTGGCTGTACAAAAATGTAACAACTCTTGTATATATCTCAAAAAAAAAATTATTGACAAACTTGTATAACTGCTGATATCTTCCAGGTATAAACTTGTTCAAAAACATGTATAAACAAAAATTGTAGTCTGGTTATTTAGTTAAAATGACTTCTGCTGATATGTTGCAATTTCTGCTGTTCCATCCAACATATAACTATTGTCATGCTTTTTTATTTTTCCCCTTTTTCAGTCCAATTCATTGGGTAGCACTGGGCCACCTGGTGATGGTTATTGGCTTTAAAGAGTTTCAAACTAGTTTGAACATATCCCGTTGCTCTGTGTTAAGCATCTATGGAATTGTTTGGTGGTTTTGAGGCTTTAGTTTTTGTGAATCCTCCAGTTCTCTGTAAGGCTTACTGGAGTTGTTTTCCGATGGGGTGACAAATTGTCATTTGCTCACTGCTCCTCCTTGAGGGGGCAAGGTTCTGGCTCTGGTCTCCAGCAGGCCAAACAAAACTTAAGCAATTGATGTTACTTTTAGTATAGTGCAATCTAAGCAAGATAGCTTCATAGAGCCATTGTGGGCATCCCCAGAGACAGAAACATGAGAAAGTTCAGAGTTTGCAACTAGAGTAGTATCAGAATTGAGAGGCCCTTGATATGAGGGCAGGTTAAGAGAACTCACCCTCACAACCTTGGAGAAGAGAAGAAATAGAAGTGTTATGATAATGACATACATGATCTTGAGGGGATATGATTACATAAAAAATCTTGAGGGGGAACTACATAAGGTGGATAAAAGAAGCCTATTTAAGTTTAAAAGAGGTAGGACAAGGGGACATCGTTGGAAGCTGGACATGCAATTCATTCGAAGAGATGTAAGGAACGTTTAGTTCCCTGTATGCGTGGTCAGCAAGATGACTGCACTAAAAGAGAAGCTTGATGAAGTCTATTCCATCCAGAACTTTAAAAAGAAATATGATGAAAATGTTCATGTTGAGAGAGAGAATTTACGCAAAAGTATAAACAGCTGGAAGGTGGGGCTATAAAGAACTATATCTCGCTCCCCCAAAGTTACTGATAAGTAAGCTCATCTCCTGTAGGATGCTCTTATATACCAATAGCTAGACCATTGTTGGATGTTCTTGTAGCAAGAGCTAGTCCCCTGTAGGGTGCTCTTATATAGCAAGAGCTTTGCTTCTGTAGGGTGCTCTTATATACCAGGAGCTAGTCCCCTGTAGGGTGCTCTTATATACCAATAGCTAGACCATTGTTGGATGCTCTTATAGCAAGAGCTAGTCAACCGTAGGCTGCTCTTATATAGCAAGAGCTTCGCTTCTGTAGGGTGCTCTTGTATAGCAGGAGCTAGTCCCCTGTAGGGTGCTCTTGTATAGCAGGAGCTAGTCCCCTGTAGGGTGCTCTTGTATAGCAGGAGCTAGTCCCCTGTAGGGTGCTCTTATATAGCAGGAGCTAGTCCCCTGTAGGGTGCTCTTGTATAGCAGGAGCTAGTCCCCTGTAGGGTGCTCTTATATACCAGGAGCTAGTCCCCTGTAGGGTGCTCTTATATAGCAGGAGCTTTGCTTCTGTAGGGTGCTCTTGTATAGCAGGAGCTAGTCCCCTGTAGGGTGCTCTTGTATAGCAGGAGTTAGTCCCCTGTAGGGTGCTCTTGTATAGCAGGAGCTAGTCCCCTGTAGGGTGCTCTTGTATAGCAGGAGCTAGTCCCCTGTAGGGTGCTCTTATATACCAGGAGCTAGTCCCCTGTAGGGTGCTCTTATATACCAGGAGCTAGTCCCCTGTAGGGTGCTCTTATATAGCAGGAGCTTTGCTTCTGTAGGGTGCTCTTGTATAGCAGGAGCTAGTCCCCTGTAGGGTGCTCTTGTATAGCAGGAGTTAGTCCCCTGTAGGGTGCTCTTGTATAGCAGGAGCTAGTCCCCTGTAGGGTGCTCTTGTATAGCAGGAGCTAGTCCCCTGTAGGGTGCTCTTATATACCAGGAGCTAGTCCCCTGTAGGGTGCTCTTGTATAGCAGGAGCTTTGCTTCTGTAGGGTGCTCTTGTATAGCAGGAGTTAGTCCCCTGTAGGGTGCTCTTGTATAGCAGGAGCTAGTCCCCTGTAGGGTGCTCTTGTATAGCAGGAGTTAGTCCCCTGTAGGGTGCTCTTGTATAGCAGGAGTTAGTCCCCTGTAGGGTGCTCTTGTATAGCAGGAGTTAGTCCCCTGTAGGGTGCTCTTGTATAGCAGGAGCTAGTCCCCTGTAGGGTGCTCTTGTATAGCAGGAGTTAGTCCCCTGTAGGGTGCTCTTGTATAGCAGGAGCTCAGGTAAGTCTTTTGAGATGATGATAAAATTGGAACAGATTTATTTATTTATTTTATTTATTTTTAATTCCTGCATGGCTCTTAAGCCTCTGGTTGACCCAATAAGTGTTGCTTGGTTCTGTTTTACTTAGGCGGAGTATGAGTATTTATGACTCGTATAGTCACTTTAGTGAGATTTTGCCCCCATGTGCTTAACATGGAGTAAAATATAGTCTTAAGTATATTAACAACTTCTGCTCTGTTGAATTTAAGTTGAAATCTTATTAGGTTTGTAACTGTACACTGTGTTAGATAATGTCCCAGTGGTCTGTCAGGCATTTCTCCATAGTGCTGACATTTCCTCTCATCTTCTGGAACCTTTAAGCCTATTTCCCTTGCACATTTCCAAGCCTGATGTGATGTAAGTGTACTTCTGTTGTTCTACTGCTCCCTTTCATCAAAATAAGTGGTTCATAGTTGGTTGAATTCTCGTACTAACCCGTAAATCCTGATTTTCCATCTGCTGTGTTGTGGTCACTGTACATCTTTTGCATTGCTTTGTGTTAAAAACTATGTGAAGAATATCCGTAATAATTTTTGGAAAGAAAGTGATGAGCTGGAAGATCGTATAGCTTAAACAAGTAGGCCTTGCCTGAATGTACAGGTGTTCCGTATTCCTCCTGTTAGTCCTGCTTGTGTGTGTTTTATTTGTTGGTTGTCATGTTTTATGTTTGACATTGTGTAGGCATTTGAATATGGGACTAATAATAAGCCTTGTGTGATCAACTACTTGCATGTTGCAGATATAACAGTCAACGATTTTGCCAACAATGAAATTCAGACGAGATTCCGCCCAAAGAAGGCATCGATCAACACACTTATGAATGAAGGTTTGTCTTTGAGCTCTTGCATGTAAATTATTAAATGTAAGCAGCATTTCATGGTAGATTCTCTAGATGGTTTTAGCTGAATAAGTGTATCAAGACAGTTTGAATGGGTTATGTTCATTTGTTGTGTAGCATAAAGATGGGGTTGACATTTGCATACAGGCATTTTCAGTCTTGAAAAACTTTCCTTGCTCTAGATCTTTTCTAAAGTGGAGTTTCAGTAGCAGACAGTTTGTTGGCCAGTTCCTTTATGATTTTAGATTGAATATCACCTGTACTTGGAGTTTTACATTCCTTTAATTTATCTATGTTTTTCCTGATTATTTGCAACTATAATAATGGGGATATCCCTTAACTGTCTTTTTATCCTGCTTAAAATATTTGTGTGGGTGTTGGGATGTTGTCTAATCTTTTTAGTGTGAACATTGATGTAAAGTATTCATTCACAGTTTTGGCTGCCTTGTTTACCATTGATTACAAGTCTCTTCAAAGATAGTTAAAGTAGTCATTGTCCTGGGCCTTTATGTGGCTTTCTAGAACTGTACCCCATCTCATATGAAGGGACGAACCTTTCCTTTGCTACCTGAATGTGATTGATCATGGGGCCCTCTTCTGATGAAGGCATTAGATCTAGCTAATCCTATTATCTTGTGTAGGCTGTCACATGCTGTATGAGAAAGTAGTTCTGAACTACATCAAGAAATTGTTCTTTTTCCATTTGTGATGTTAGATTTTCCCACTATTGTTTCTTGGTTAAAATCATCCCATTATAAGAGCTTGTGCTTCATGTGCTGCCTATATCACATAATGGAGGTCTTTAACATTCTTACTGTAATTCTGAGCTATGATATTGCAAAAAATAGATTGTGAACAACCCATCTTTAATATCTCATTGTCGGTTCCAGTGAAGTCCTCTTTTATGTTTAGTATTGGACCTGCCCTTGTTATTCTGTTCTTTCTGAAAGGTAGGTGGTACAGTGGAAGATGTGAATTCTGCAGTTATATATTTTAATACTTGGCGCATGTGTCTAAGACAAGATACTCCAATTACCTTGGACATGTTCTACAGAACCCTGTCCAGCAAAAAGGCTGCAACCCGAGAATGGGGCTGAGCCAAAACCAAAATGCAGCTTGGTGAAACAGCATACACTTAAAAGAGAAATGACCTGTGAACCAAAAATGCCGAATAGTAGAAGCGATATGAATGGCTATTGTGGTCTAAAAACACTAAAGCATGCTCTTAAGTACAGAAACGTGCAAAGTTAGGCCCAGAATCGGATAATGATGCCACAATAACCTACTATGTAAGACAATAATATCCCGCAGGAACAAGGAACATCAGCTGCCCACACCAACACGGACAGGCAGATATGCTGAGTGCAGGACAAGTATCTTGGTAAAGCACACACCCATTCCTGTCCTATATCACTCATTGAGGGAAGGCATAAGCAGCCACATATTATAAAAATATTTGTAACCAAAATGTGCCCTTTGCTATTGTGCAAGGCCCCTGATGTACACCAGGAGCAGGCTAAGCACAATATTTTATTGATATATACAAGAGTTCTTACATTCTTGTACAGCCACTAGTATGCGTAGCATTTCAGGCAAGTCCTTAATCCTATGTTCCCTGGAATACAATCCCTGCGAAGAATCGCTTTTACAACCAAGTACCCATTTTACTGTTTAGTTAAACAGAGGCTATAGTTAAGGATTTGCGCCCAGTAAATCCTCCTCGGCCAGGATACGAACCCAGGACAAAGTGCTTGCGGAACACCGGGCGAGCGTCTTACCACTACGCCACAGAGACTGCAATAGGCGATGTTTTTAACATGTACAAGCACACAGTCTTAACACTTTCGCGCTAACCGGACTCACCGGTGAGTCCTGTTTCGTCTAACGCTAATGCATAGTGGACATAAAGTTATGTCCTCTTTTAAAATATTTGTATAAAATTCAATTTTTATCCGATTTACTTTGGGTTTGTTTCAAACTGCGCGCCATGAGGCTCTCTTTCTCACCACTAGGCTGCATTGTACAATAAGTTCATGAAAGGTGTGGACCACTTCGATCAAATGGTATTATGTCCCAAACGGGTTGCAGGTGGGTGACTTTAGCCGTTTATACTGGTAATGCTTCCCCCATATCATGTATTATATGCATATGTCTGTTTAGGGAATTTTATTCCGATCAATGTACAACCAAAAATAACTGTGTGCAACAAGTATAAACTTGACAAACATAACAAAAGTAAAAACATTTCGTGTGTATTTGACGCTCACTGATATGTTCCAGCGTTGTTTTATATTTGGCGCTATTCTATCTTACGCTTTGTTGATCTTTTTTACCTATGGGCTCATAGAACATTCTATTGCGAACACATTGACACAAAAATGAATGACGTACATAGAAAATTAATGTCATGAGAGTGAAATAAGTATAAACTTTCAAAGCGCCGTGCGTCGTCCCGTCACCGATACCGGGTAACAATTTCCCCACTTCCCACACTCTTGCGGGCGGGCCGCATCATTATTCTATGCTTATATTCATATCACCGTGTTGGGAATTTCATTGCGAGTCCATTGATACCAAAATTAACGCTGTAGAACAAGTGTGGAGGTGATAACAATCCCAAGAGTAAAAACATTTTGTTGCTGTTGGGCGCTCACGGCGAGTCTTCTTCGTAGTTATTTATTTGGTGCTGGTATCCCTATACGTTTCGTGACTTTTTTTACTGATGTTCTTCTAGAGAATTTTATTGCGAACACGTTGGTACCAAAATGAAATACGTAGCTCGAGAACTAAGGTCATGAGAGTAAAAAGAGTATACACATTTTTGTTTTTACACTTACGCGGCAAAATGCTCGTTGCACTTACGGTTGGCTGAGTGACCTTCGCGGAGAGCGCGAAAGTGTTAAGATACACTCTCCACATCAACAGGTGCCACAGGGAAGAAAATCTTGTGCGTCTTGAAAGCGAGGCGACTTTAAAGTAATCAACTCATAGAAGAGAAAGGGATGATAAACCTGGTTACGGTTAGAGTGAAATGGAGTGCTAGGAAACACACAATGCTGGTAGTATTATATAATTGTAAAGCAGAAATTAAAAGAAAGCAATGGCCTATGGTGGAACTAAAATTTTAGGGAAAACCAATGCAGCTTAGCTGAAAGCAGAGTCTAGTGCAGCAGGAAGAATAGCAGAGACTGTGGGTGACCTGGGCTGCAATCTAATGGTAGTAGAGTGCATCACAATTAAGGTATTACTCCTGCAGCATCTCTAGGCTCTCTTCACCTTGTAGAGCAAGCTAGATTCCAGTTTGGGTTTGTGGTAGGTAAGAATAGGTCTGGTGTAGTTAGCTAAGGCTTTGCAGTTTGAGAGCTAAGCTCAACAAGGTACTGAGAGATCTCTTCCAGGAATAATATTAATTTCTAGTTGAAATTCCAGGACCCATTGGATCCTTGGGGCAAGGATGATAAAACAGCTCCTGTATTCTCAACTTGCATATTTCTTTACAATGTGAAGTATCTAAATTCATACATTACTCAAATGCTTTCATGATGAATTATTTGCACCTATGAAGTTGCTTCCCCATAAAGAAGCACTAGAACAAGTTTTATGTTTGCATAGTTCTCATAAAACTGAACATGTGTATACAGTAGTATTAGAAGTAGTAATGGCAGTGTCTTCTCACTGACATAATAACATAAGATAAAAGGCCTCACGTGTGTATGTGTGAAATTTATGTAAGGAATTTACACCAAGTCTTTCACACTCTCCTGAGTGTTTTATCAAGGTCTGAATGTGTGATTAGGATGAGACTTCTCAACGTTTAATCAGATTAGACGTTGAGATGTAAGTCTCATGCTAATCACACACTCAGACCTTGATAAAACACTCAGGAGAGTACGAAAGACTTGGTGTAAATTCCTTACATAAATTTCACACATACACAAGTGTGGATTTTTATCCATTAGTAGTAGTGCCGCTGACTAACTGTGGCCAAAAATAATTTTGAATTTGTTTACTATGATAGTTATTTAGTGTAGTTAAAAAAAATTTGATTTAAAAAAGATCCAGGAAGCTACAAATTCTTTGTTTTAGAAGTTTATCTATTATATGATTTAATGTTTAAGAAGTCGATTCTTATTTTGGAATATAGTAGAAGTTGCTTCAGCTGGCTAAACTTTTGACTGTGCTATTTTGGAATATATGAGTGACCTGTCTTATGTTGCAACAGTAAAACTGCTGCAAGTAAAGGAAGAGGACAAAACATGGGATGAAAAAGATGACGACGAACTTCTTTCTGATCTGACTGAAGACAATTTTCCAGGACAAAAAGGAGGTATGTATTGGTAGTATTTTAGCATAAATCTTAATCAGTCTATGAGTGCTTGAATTTACATAGAGAATGAAAAGGTATATTTAGAGTATGGGGAGAAAACTGGTGTATGTAAGCGAGTGAGAGAAAACCTTGCCAACCCAAAATGAAAACAAACCATAGAATTTAGTTTTAAACATTCTCGATAGCATTCCCAAGGCTCCAACTGTTTTCTGAGGGGATCCCTGTCAGCTCCCTGGAGCTATCGGACTGATATTAGCTATATTAGTCTGGGGCTTTAATCATATGGAGTTCTTATGCCTACCAGGAACCACGAGCCAGAACCTGGTTTCCTCAGAGAGGCGAAGGGAGCAATGGCCTATGGAAACTGCACTCTGAGAGTATATTCATATCTGCCATTGACCAGGATTAGGCACCCAGAAAGGTAGGCACCCCAAAACAGACCCCAACTGGTAGAAAAGTGCACCCCAAGACCAAACAGAGCCCAATCCCTGTCAGGATTTTGCCACTTGTAGTTGTATCTGCCGTGTATTGGGATGTTGGCCAGGGATACCAGTACATCGGACTGCAAGCACTTTGGGTTACCTTCCCTAGGCGCCCTGTAAGTACATCCCTTGGGTCTCAGGGTTATCTTCAGTGAGGCTTTCAGGTTCACACTCTCGTACGGGTTGTTGTCGCTTGACATCGGCCTCATCCTTGGGGTCAACAGTGGTCTTGGTGCTTTCGTTTGGCCCCTGGGTACGGAGTGTTTGTTCCTGGTTGGGGCGCACCTCACATACTAGCAGCAGCCGTCCCTCTCTTTGGTCTTCTGTTGTTGTGGTGCACTTTTGGGGTGTCTTTTCATTCTTTTTAGTTCTTTCCTGTCTGGTGGAGGCCTGCCTGGCTTCCCATTAAGTATGCCTAGGTTCTGTTTGATAGTCCTCTGCTCAGCCCCCCGAGGTTGCTCCCTTCACAGGGGTCAGTTTGCCTGGTATATAGATGGGGTTCAACCGGCTTTGTAGTACCAGTGCCTGGGCTTCCCGTAGGGACACCTTCCCCTGTGGGCCCTGGAAACCCCCGTCGGGGCTCAGGTGTCCATGGATGTGTCTTAAGAGTCTAATCTTGAGTGGTGCGAATTGAGGGTTGTCCGTTGCCCTTGTCTCAGGGTGACGATCATCTGTTTTGCCTCCTGTCATGCTGCTTGTTGGGTTGACGACACCTTCAACCTGGAATCATGCGAGACTTGTTTCATGCTTGTTATCCAATTTACCCATTCTTATTCGGGAGATATTAGGGGTCAAGCGGTTGTCACTTTGCATCCTAACTTTCAGTTGTTGCAATGCTCTAGGTTGGTTGCCTGCTCAAATGCCCCAAGGATGTCCCGTTTTGGTTTTAGGAACCCAGACTTTGGGGCATTGGTCACTTCAACCTTGGATCAGTCCGTGCCCCTGAGTCCTTGCCCCCTGTTGGTGGTGTTCGCCCTTCTCCTCCCACCCCCTTGCTGTTGGCTCCCAAACGTCTGAGGGTTTCGAAGTCTGGGCGGGATATAGTTGGGGATAAGACTCGGGTGCCGGCTCCAGGGGCTGCCCCTTTTGATACAGGGAAGGAGGCCTTTGAGCCTGATCCTCCTGCCGAGGCTTCTGGGTCTTACCAGCAGACCCTCTTCTTTGATATTTTTCCCTTGGACTTTGAGAGTGTGGAGGACGGCTCTGCCTTGAAGCCTGGTTTTGAGTCTTCCGGGGCTGGGGAGGAGTTGGCCTGGGGCGCTTGGGCCCCGTTCGATCCTGCCTGGGCCTTGGTGCTTTCAGGACGGGGTTTGATGTTGCAGGGTTTGGGGTTTTCATATCCCCCCTTCCCTGTACTAGTTTGATATGGGTTCAACTCCTCCCCGGGTTCGTTTTTGGGTTCCTTTGGTTTCTGTGACTTCGTCTTTGTAGAGGTTTTCCACCTCTCAGACTTATCCTGCAGAGGTTTGGGAGGCCCTTGTGTGTATCTTCTGCGTGACCCCTAGGGCCACCACAAGCAAAGAGACCCCCTAAGGAAGTGTACCCCGAACAGACCAGGAAAGACAACCCTGACTGAACAAGGGCAGCACTTAAGGAGCACACAGGGAAAGGGAACCCTGTGCACATGCATCTCTAAGTACACAAAAACTCCTGGCTCATGCTGCACAAATGTGTACAAGAACAGCCTCAAAAGTAAGCACCACTTGGCTAAGACAGGAGACTGGAGCGAGAGCGATCTGAAAAATGAAAAACCAGCACCATCTATGTCGGTATAAAAACTGGTGGTGGACCAGCTGGCTGACCCTGTCTGCCTCCCTCCTCTTCCCAAACAAGGTGGAGAGGTGGGGCGAACAAGCTCCTGCTAGTGTCACGAATTTTCGATCGTTTGTTTACATTATTGGGGGAGTTCTTTTGGCGGTTTTGAGGCTGTGGTCTCATTTCTAACTAAGCAGTAGTTTTTATTTTGCTGACTTTCTAAGTGCATTCCCCTGGTGACGGTAGACATGAATAACTTTATATAAAAGGTTTTCATAGTGCCACCGCTCCCTCTGTCTCTCTGAGGAGGCCAGGTTCTGGCTTGTGGTCCCCGGTAGGTCAATAAGAACTCTGCAACTGATGGCACCTAGTAGTTTGGCACTGTATCTTGAGGTTATCTTGAGATGATTTCGGGGCTTTTTTTTTTTTTTTAAGTGTCCCTGCAGCCCGGTCCTCGACCAGGCCTCCACCCCCAGGAAGCAGCCCGTGACAGCTGACTAACACCCAGGTACCTATTTTACTGCTAGGTAACAGGGGCATAGGGTGAAAGAAATTCTGCCCATTGTTTCTCGCCGGCGCCTGGGATCGAACCCAGGACCACAGGATCACAAGTCCAGCGTGCTGTCCGCTCGGCCGACCGGCTCCCCAGTATCAGTGGAATAAATTCAGTGAGCTGCTCCACCACCAGTTTTTCAGTAACGGGGCTTACCCAGAAATTGGCATTTCATTACATTCAAAGCTGGTCTCTATTTATCTCAGGACTGATAACAAAATTTTAAATCCTGGCCATAATGTAACATTTGTGCCCACCAATAATTATCACATAGTTAGGACTTTGATAGGGAATTACTTGCAGATGATTGATCTATCATATGCCTTGTTCAAAATGATAAATACATAATAAATAATTTGTTTGAATTTTTTTTCTAGAGAGAATTGAAGAAAGAAAAAACTAAATATGCTAAAGGGTTATTATAATATTATTTCACTACACTACCTTCCTGGTGAGGTAAGTCACAATACCTTTTGTGACTTACAAATGTGAATGTGTTACAGTGGATGTAGGTCCAGTTGGTGATTGGACCTACATCCACTGTAAGTCGATGTAGGTCCAATCTCAGTCTTACTGGGTCCAATCCCAATCTTACTGGGTGTAGGTCCAGTAAGATTTTTTTACCTTGTGGGAGGGGGACAACCTTGGGGTCTGACAAGTGGAATGAGATCCCTCATGTAATGAATTGGTCTTGCCCCATATACCATAGTTCATGCAAGTGAGGATACACTGTATGCAGCAGTTGTTTGATGTCCGTATCTCAAGAAGCCCATCTGTTTACTGTTTCAGAGCAGAGTAGAGGAGGAGAGAGAAAAACGAACAAGTCAGATGGTGATGAAGGTGCAAACTATCCATTAGACATTTGGTTTATCATAAGGTAAGATTATTTTTTGTAGGTACAGTGATAACTATAAATCCAGACTACAGTACAGTACTGTATATCATTCCAGACCTGATTTGGATTTGAGAGCAATCTGGATTTTAGGATACTGTACTATATTTGTCCTTTTTTGGTAGGCCCTTCTAAACAGTGTGTGTTTAAGAAAGAATGATCTTGCAAAATTTGCTTCTCGTTATGAACTCACAGCAGGTAATATCTAGTCAGACTTTCCATGTTTTGTCAAAATTTAAAAGAAAAGACTTAAAAGAAAAGAAACCCAGTAGCCTTTTAACAACCCCATAGAAGTTGATGCAGAGACTCAGTTGCTAGAACTTCAGCTTGAGCTGTGTGATCTGCAGTGTGACCCAGTGTTGCTTGCAAAGAAAAGTGAAAATTGGGTGAGTTTCTGGAAGTTGATCTGCAAAGATAGATATCCCACGCCGAAAGATTTTACACTAAAGCAGCACTCGGTGTTCAGTAGTACATATACAGTATATGTGAATTTACACTTTCTACTGTGAAGCAAGTAAAATCTAAGACCAGAAATCAAATGGGGAAATGGAACAATGGATGCATGCCTTTGACTTACATCTTCCAACATAGGAATTGATATGTTGAGACTGGTAAAAGAAAAGTGTCAATCCCAGACAACTCATTAGTAGGCAAAAATGTGACTAGCATTATTTTTGTATAAATTCAGAGCCTTTAAAAAGGTAATTTTTTTGTTTCTGTACATGCAGGCCCTGATTAGAGCCTTTGCATCACTATAAATACTGTATAAAATTTGCAACCCTCTACATAAAAGTGCTGCAGTGGCTGACTAAGTGAAAAAGGTTGAACTACCATGTACTACAGGTAGTTAATAAAGTAATGTAAAGTAATGAGCAAAAATACATTAATTTGCACCAACAGTTATCATTGTTACCTTCTCTTTATTTTAATTGCAGTGAACATATTGCCCCAGAGGATGTGGGAAGGTTTGCTGCCATCTGCCAGGCCACCTACTATATCACCACAACCGCTATATTCTGGTTTACTCTATATAGAAGGTATTTCATCTTGCTGTATCTGCATATTTCTGGGAAGTTCCCTCATTACCTCCCTGGAGTTTGTGTTGGTGAAGACAAGTCTTAAGAATTGTGTAAGCCAGGAGAATCAATGTACAGTGTATAAATGTTCAAAGTAAGGCAAATTGGATACTGGAATTCATATACAGAATCATTGTTAATAAGGCATGTAATGTCATTCTTAAGCTTTTCCTTGCTCTTGTTAGGTCCAGTCTAGATTATACAGTTCAGTTTTCAGCACCTGTACTCTAGAATAGATCCAGTATATGTTTACTGGAACATGTACAGAGAAGTATGACAAAGCTAAACTACTAGGTACTACTACCTAGACACTAATACCATCCATGTTGAAGAGACATTAAGAAGACTTTATTTACCTTCTCTAGAAAGGCAAAGAGTAATGGGTGACGTGATTGAAGTATACAAATAGATGAAAGGGTATTAGAGGGAAGATGTTAATAGGGTGCTAAATATATCTACATAAAACCAGCATTGAATATAATGAAGCTTCTCTTTCTGGTAGAGCCCAAGTGGCTCCCTGAAGCTAAATTGATGAGGTGGCTCCCCACCACTGGGTCACTTTAGTTGCAGGAAACCTGTTTAGCCTTCCACAGACCCGAGTCAGACGTGTTTTGGTGATTCAAAAACCCTCCCTCTTGGCCTCCCTCTTCCTCCCCCCAACCATAGACAGAGAGCAGCTATCTCGGCAAGATAATTTCAGGGAGCCACCCAGGAGCTCCTCCCAGAAAATAGAAAACAAATCTGGATAAGTTTAGATTTAGAAGACCTAGATAAATACTAATTTGGAAATATGGTTGTAATTTAAAAAAGAATTACAGGGCATGATATATCATGCCTATAATATAATAGGCATGAGATAGGTGGATTGTTTCAAGTGTAAGTTAGATATGCAGAATACTTGCCTCGCCTGGGTTAATAGACCTTCTCTGGTTTTCTTTACTTTTATGTTCTATACTCCTAATTTCACCAAGCCTCTGAGACCCACATTTCCTACAGAAAGCCAGGTCCAGAATCAGGACTTGCAGGAGCTTGGAGGATCAAAGACAACCCAAAAGCAAGGAAAACCTCACCAGAAAGGTTATGCAAAACAAAAATAACCTATTGTTCAAATATGAAAAAAAGGAGCCACTCATAAAGGAGGGACCTGAATACTTCAGAGAATATATCTCTGGTGGAGCAAAGGAGATGCAAGCCAGCTACCAGAGAAGAGCATCCTGGCATGAACCCTGTGTGAAATATTAGCCAGGGAATATGCAGTGTGGGTGGTGTTACAAAATGCATCTATGATGTGAATATTAATAAAGCAGTGGCATCACAAAGGAGAACTATTCCAGAAACAACCAACACAACAAAACTCTCAGTCCCAGTAGAGGATGTTCAACCTTCATAGTACCTGTACTAGGCAAGTGATTATATAGGTAGTAGGCTGGAATCCTGGGTGACCTGGACTGCTATTTGACAGACACATTAAGGCAACATTTGTTTATCCACAACTACTATCATTAATCTTCTTTTCCTAACTGTTCATTATTTTCAAGCAGTAGCTTCCTGGTTGGCTTCCTCTGTTTTGGGTGAAAATGATCCTCAAGCTCTTCTCTCTCCATAGAGAGCCTGATTCTAGTCCCGACTCCCAGTAGGCTCGGTTAGGTCTCAAAAGCCTGGCAATGATCATTGGGACTAGCCCCCTCAGTAGAAAACTACCGAGGTGGCTTTCGAAAAAATAAATATATAATTTCTAATTACCTGTACTGTAACTGTACAGTACTATAATTTGTGAAGCAGAATATAACAGTTAAGCATTGTATCTTTTTCCTGCAGGCACTATAAGTGGGTTTCTGATCTCCCAGCACATCTGACACACTGGAACATGAATTACACAAAAGGCCTAAGAGCAGCAGTTGTTCAATCTTTGTATTTTATGTATTCTCCGTTCTCTTCTCGCTTAGTAGGAGAAAAACCTCTAAGTGCCGACCCTACTCAGCTGCTTCGATCACAGTGTGTACTGCAATGGCATGTTGTAAGTAGCTTCTACTGTGTGAGGCTGATGCTTTTTTTGAGGCTTAGCAATATTAGCTTACTGAGATATTTGTTGCCAGCATTTGTGGCCTTTTGAAGACAACAAAGCTTTAAAGTTGCATTTGTTCATGAATATAATCCACAGTGAACCTTTATATAATGTGGCAGTTATATTTCTGAAAATCACCTTTTATAAACTGAATAATGTATGTTAAAAATGGGGTTACTTTCCCAGAAATTATGAAGGTATACATTACAGACATACTCTTATTTAAAACCCTGTGAGGGTAATTTATCTAAATGAAGGTAAATTACCCTCACATTGTTTTTAATTAGGGTGTCCCTGTAATATACAGCCTAGTCATATTTGGGAACATGGCCCCATTTTTTTCTGGGAGGGCTCCCTCGGTACTACCCCATACTACCTCGCTATATATTGGTATACCTGTCAAACCCCCAGTACTACATAGGCTCTATCATCTTACAAGCACCTACCAGAGACCAGTAAGAGACTCAGACCCCCTCTCAGTACTGTAGAGGGAAGGGAAGTCTGGGGATTTACGACCACCACAAAACCAAGAGTAAAGACAACCAGAAAAATAGAGCAAATCAAAACAGACAACTACAGGGTTCACCTTTGCATCACTGATCTTGACTATGCAAACAATTGTTAACTGGGCAAGACCTCGGTGTTTGTCGAGCTTCTCTCGCGGGGATCGTGGGTGTAACATATCAGGCAGCAGTTGTCATGTAGGATCTTTTTGAGGTTATCTTGAGATGATTTCGGGGTTTAGCGTCCCCACGGCCCGGTCTTCGACCAGGCCTCCTTTTTGTTACACCACCCCCAGGAAGAAGCCTGTAGCAGCTGTCTAACTCCCAGGTACCTATTTACAGCTAGGTGAAGAGGGGGTATCAGGGTGAAAGAAACTTTGCCCATTTGTTGCCGCCTACACCGGATATCAAGCCCGGAACCTCAGGAGTACAAATCCGAAGCGCTGTCCACTCGGCTGTCAGGCCCCTCTGTCCCCTGTCAGGATAGGGCATTCAATTTCATCTTGTATTGTCTGTTTTTAGTGCCGTGGAATTTGAACCGTTGTTTCACAAGGTGGTGGAGAGATTAGTTAGGCATATGTGTACTAGGTATGCCTAGATATGAAATGTAAAGTGTGTGAATTGTCTCATTCTTGGTTCCTTATATAAATGATGTGTCTGTATATAATACACTTTAGTATTTAGTTTATACCACCATACAAAGGTCCACGGGTATTAAACTGGATAAATATCACGTAGCTTGAATGCTTGAATCCCCCCCTTTATTTCATTCGCACAGGGGAAATTTCACAATAAACTCGGCGCAGCACGGTGGTTAAACCATGGGTTTCTCATCTGCATTTTGTTTTTTTACCTTTTGAACCGACACAAACTTGTCTGTTGCCTCTTAACAATTCTGCGTGATGTAGTCCATCATGTCTTGGGCCGTCTTTTCCCAGAGCTCTGTTTCCCATGTTATATTTGTTAGGAATTTTCTTATCTCCTCATAGTTTCCCTTTCAGATTGCCAGCCTTTTGTTTTCAGTTCCCTTCCTTGAGTTCATTAACCCTTCTTCGACGAGATACTCAAATGTCAGTACACTGTGATCACTCATTTCTACTGTGGCCTCGAAGCCGATTTCCCTTATGTCAGAGTCATTCAGAGTGAAGACTAGGTCTTCACTGATGCCTTCAGATGCCTTCTTGTATAAGGCATCATAAAATGGTGGTTATCTGCTGATCCATCAATCCCTCTGTTCCTGGAAGGCTAGGTTTGGGTCTAAAAATGGCTAGGCCTGGTCCATGTACTGTACTCTCTCATAAACCATATAGCTCTTTGTTCAGTATAAGATCCTTATAGGTCTGCTATAACTAAAGCATGCTATGCACTTTGGTGGATATTTTCCACAACATAAATGGTCAAATGGTTTATTTCCTCAATTTATGAATACGTGTATTATAATGTGCAATTGATTTCATGGAATAAAATATTAATTATTTGTTTAAAGTGTATACAGTATTTATTTGTACTGTATTATGAAGCATAAGTGTTGCCTGTCTTTTTCCAGAAAGTTGGCACACTATTCAAATATTTTTTCAAGTTTGCTCACCCAAAGCAAAATAAGGACTATATAAAATATAACAAAGAAAATAATTGGAGAAAAGATGCCTTGGTCACCTTTAATCCTGAAGATGGCTGCTACATCCTAGAGGTTAGTAGTGAATATAATACTGCATTATATATTAGAAGTACTGCTGTGGATGTGTTTCTGGAGTGTATTGATACAATTTCTGGAAGGCCCCCCCCCCCCCCCACAGTAACTCCCTGAGCTTAACTCCTAATATTGCCAAACCATAGAAAATTATACTATTCCCCTAAGACCAACCCTGAGATACAAATCCAGGGATTCCACTAAAATTCTTCTACTCTTAAAATTACTTGTGTTTTTCCACATTGAGTAATGCTCAGTTTTCTCTCTTTCAAAGCAGGAGAGATTTCTGAAATTGAGGCAATACAGAGAACATATATTGCACGTATAGACTGTAAAGCACCTAAATTACTGGTATTGTCTCAAAGCACTCAAGGCAATTGCAACACACCAGTGCAAGCTTAAGTGTAGTTACAGAATCAGTGTTATTCTTGTAGTGTCCTGTTTTCCCAGTACTGTATTCTTTGTCATATAACACTTTGAAGCTACTGTACTGACAGTTTTGGCATCCACCACCTTCCCACTTAACTCATTCCAACTGTCTGCAAAAGGGAACTTGCTAATTTTTTTGGCACTTTTGTTTCCTTAGTTTATTGATGTGATTCTTGAGAGATGGGTATATCTTGAGGTTATCTTGAGATGATTTCGGGGCATATCGTCCCCGCGGCCTGGTCCTCGACCATACGGTATGGTGGGTACCATACAACTGCTGCATATTCTAATTTTGCTCTCACAAAATTTGTGTTCAATTTCTTTAATATTTCACCATCCATGTATTTAATGGTGATTCTGAAATTAGACGGCATAGCATAGGCTCCTCCCTCAATGTCTTTTACATAATCGTCAGGTGACAGTTTTCTGTCCTAGACCACCCCTAGATTTCTTTATCGAAGTGCTTTAAAGGCTCTTCACATAATTTGTAGGTTGTGTGTGGCCTATTTTCTCCTAATCCACATTCCATGACGAGGCATTTATTCATATTGAATGCCATCTGCTAAGTGTTTCTCCTTATCCTTATTTGCTCCCCACATCTTGAAGGGCATAGCAATTGTCAGTTTCTTATTTTCCCTAGTAGCTTGGCATCAGCAGCAAATATGTTCATATAGACAATGAACATCACTGGTGCTAGAACTGAACCCTGTGGTTCTCCACTAGTAACATTTCTCTAGCCTGATACATTTCCTCTGATTACTGTCCTCATTTTCCTGTCAGATAAGTTTTCAGTCTCTCTGTCACCCCTTCCAGTATGTTCTAATTTCCAGAACCTCTTGTGTGGGACTGTCAAAAGCCTTTTATTTCTGTGGGGGAGCCCCTACGGCTCCCTGGAGTTATCGGGTTAATGTGTGATATATTAGACTGGGGCATTAGTCTATGGAGTTCAGCCTACCGGGGACCACGAGCCAGAACCTGACCCCCTCGGAGAGGTTTTAGGGAACAATGGCCCTGGAAAATATCCCCTGTAATTGGGGGTTTTCCTTATTTGCCATCAACTGGGGTTAGGCACCCAGAAACGTAGGCATAACAAAATAAACCCCACATGGTAAGAAAAGTACAACTAAAAACCAAAAAGAGGGGCAGAACTCCCTCCAGTCCCAAGGAAACAAGCAAACGTCACACTCCACCACTGCACTGCTCATTTGGGCAGCCTTCCCTTGCCACAAGAGGAGGAGGGGGGGTAAGCCCCAGAACTCCCTGCGCCGGCCACCTAGCATTCCAGTTCATTCCCTAATATGGTCCGGGGCAGATGTCTTCTTTGGCCTCAATTTCCAAGGTGGTGTTTTGCCTTCGTGGCAACCTCTGCAGTGTTGGTGGGTGTGGTAGCCAAGTGTCCCCTTCAATGCTGGGGCTGCCTGTGCTTAGGGGCTTCCTTCCCTAGGCACCCTATAAGTACTGCCCTTGCGTGTTAGGGTTCCCCTTCCCTGGTGCGTTCGAGAAACCATTTACATATTGTAGTGGTTTTTGCTGCTCGGCATTTACCCCACCCTTGGGGCCAGCTGGGATTTCATGGCCCTTGTTTGGTCTTGGGTAGGAAGTGGTATCGTGCAGATTGGAGCATCAAGGTGTGCAGCCTTCCTACCTATGCAGCGGCCGGTTCCTGTTTCCTCTAGGGACATTGTACTTTTGTAGGGTTTTTCTTTTTTTTTTCTTTTTTCCAGCCTGGTGGGGGTCTGCCTGGTGTGGCTATATTTCCAGTTCTGCTAGTACCCTGTGATTGTACATATTACAGGGATTTTCAGTGTTTTGATGTTCCCCTTGTTAGCGTTGGGTCTTAACCAGTTTGCAACACCTTGCCTGGGCTTCTGATAGCAGTCAGCCTGCGGGCCCTGGAAAACCCTGTCGGGGCTTGACGGACCCATTGGTGCGCCTTCTAAGTTCCAGCCTGCCTCGTGCGGGTTTGAAGGTTGCTGTGTGCCCTTGTCTCAGGGTGACAGTCGCCTCTTTTGCCTCTGTCATGTTGTCTGTTGGGTCAACGATGCCTTTAACCCAGAGTCTTGCGAATCGTGTTCTCTGCTTTTTCTCCAGTACTATTCTGATGACAATACTGTTAGAGTACAGACAGCATCCTTGTTGCATGCTAGGTTTAGGTTGTTGCAACGCTAGGTTGGTTTCCCACTCGGAGGCCCCACACCTGCCCCGCTTTGGTTATAAGGACCCAGACCTGGAGGCGTTAGTCGCTTCAACTTTGGTTCAGTCTGTGCTCCCTGGGCCCTCCCCTTGTTGTTCACCCCACACTTCCCTCCCCTGCTTCTGGCTCCCAAATGTCTGAGGGTTTCGGAGTCGGGGCAGGATTTAGTTGGTAATGAGACTCGGGCAGCTTCTAGGGCTGTCCCATTTGGGCTGGGGATGGAGGCATTTGAGCCGGTTCCTCCTGCCGAGGCTTCTAGGTCCCACCAGCAGGTCCTCTTCTTTTCTGCCTTTCCCTTGGATTCTGCCTTTTCTTTAGGGGGTAAAGGGTATGGAGGACTGCTCTGCCCCGGGAGGGGGGGAGGCCGACTTGGGAAATCCCGGGGCTGGGGATGAGTCGACCTGGAGGACCTTGGGCCCCCTTTTGTTTCCGCTTGGGTGTTAGTGCCTTCTTCGCGGGGCTTGTTGTTCCAGGGGAAGGGGTTTTCTCCCCCCCCCCCTTTCCTGTATAAGTATGATTTGGGGTCGGACTCCTTCCCGGTTCCGGGCTCCCTTGGGTTCCTCGGCCCCGTTCTTCAAGAGGTTTTCTGCCTCTTGTATCTTCCCTAGGGAGGTTCAGGGGGCTCTTGCTGCATACCTTCTGCGAGATCCGGATTCCACCTTCGTGATGGATCCGTCCTTATTTGAGTTCTGTACTCCCGTATTGGGTACATTTGGAGATTCCGGAGTCTTCCTGGCGGGCAGTCTGCCCATTCTTTTCATTTTGGGCATGGCATGGGTTCTGTCGGACCCGCATGCTTGAGTGGCGAGAAACTTCTACCGTTCTGCAAGTTTATTTGGGGGAAGAGTTTGAGCACCTTAATGCTTGTGTGTTCATCCCTGTGCTTTCTCCATGCTCGATCCATGCTCGAGTCTGCATTCAAACCTCTGTAAATTAAAAACAAAAAAAAAATATACCATCTATGCTTTTTTCTGTTCTGGGGCTCATCCAGAAAGGGGCTTTTCATTATATTCAATGCTGGGTTTTTGCTAGCTTTGTATATTCCACCAATTTCATTTCTTTTTTCCTTGGACCTCCTGGGACAGGGTTGATTTTTATGTCTACTAGATTCTTGTCCTTTTTAAATACTGTCAAGGTGCTTTTCATTCACTATGTATTTTTGTGAGAGAGTAGGCATGTGTAATACATTATGATGATAGATTTTTGTAATTTATTAAACTGTTTTGTTATAGTACTGTACTATATGCAGAATGAAATGCAAGTAAATGTCATAACCATATGGTACACATAATAATACAGTATATTTGTAGGCTACAACTAGTTCGGTGTGTGGAATACCCATGATAATTGGCGAGTACCTCTACCATGCTGGATTAGGGGTATCAACCAACATGTGTAATCACCGTCTACGTCTTTCCATGGTACCTGCACACCTCCTCTCAAGCTCTACCTCTTCCAATTCTCGCAAGTATCAAGTTCCAACAACAGAGGTAAATAATAACAATGATTTTGTCTTATTATACTGTACTGTTTTATATTTTTTGTATAATATTGGAATATATGATCTTGTATGGAAAATCAGACTTGTTTTTTAAATGTGATTTAATTAGGCGTCTCCAGTTAGGATACCATATGATTTAAGTTGTGTATCTCTGTATGGAACAGATAGGTCTTGGAATCTGGCATGCTGGGCTAAGCCTGGTGGCACCAGAATTATGCTTGGGGAGCTACAGCAAGGTCCCTCCCAGAAAACATATTACAGTACTTTAGTAATGTCTTTGTTCCTTTTCAAACCTATTGTCCTGGACCTAAAACATGAGCTATAAGGAAAAAGTGCTGGCATTAAATATGCAAAAATTGATTAGACTATAGGAAAAGTGGGGACATTATCACATTCAGGAAGTTTGAAATACTATACACAACATGGAGAACAAAGCCTTGGGGTCAAACTAAGAAATCAAACTCACAAAAAAAATGTATATAATTTAATTTTGTGAATAGTAGTAGATAGGTGGAACAATTATAAGAGTAGTGTATGCCAAAATCAGTTAGTTTCGAAACATGACATGACAGAAATTATGTAGACAGGACACAATGTACATAGCTCTCATCTTGCAACAACATTCACACACAGAACTAGATCTTGCTTGCCCATAATTATCAATGGGTAAACACACACACACACGCACGCACCCCCCCCCCCCTCCAAAACAGAGATGCAGGGCCAGAAAACAGGATTGGTTCGACAGAAATTGTGAGAGGGCAAGAGACCTAAAGACACAAAAATGGAAACGGTATAGGAAGAGGCCAAACCCCCAAACATACCAGCGATACAAAGATGCGAGAAACAACTATACAGCAGTAAGGAGAGAGGCAGAAAGAAATTTTGAAAAAGGGATAGCGGATAAATGTAAAACAGAACCAGGCCTATTCTACAAATTCATAAACAACAAATTGCAAGTAAAGGATAATATCCAGAGGTTGAAAATGGGAAACAGATTCATGGAAAATTAAAAGGAAATGTGTGAAACATTAAATGAAAAGTTCCAAAGTGTGTTTGTACAAAATTAAATCTTCAGAGAACCAGACACAATAAGAATTCCAGAGAACAACATAGAGCGGATAGAGGTGTCTAGAGATGAAGTGGAAAATATGCTAAAGGAGCTCGATAAGAACAAAGCAGCTGGCCCAGATGGAGTTTCACCATGGGTTCTGAGAGAATGTGCATCTGAGCTCAGCATTCCACTTCACCTGATCTTTCAGGCATCCCTGTGTATAGGAATCGTAGCAGACGTGTGGAAACAGGCTAACATAGTTCCAATCTACAAAAGTGGCAGCAGGGAAGACCCCCTCAATTATAGACCTGTATCATTGACAAGTGTAATAGTAAAAGTATTGGAAAAGCTAATCAAAACTAAATGGGTAGAACACCTGGAGAGAAATGATATAATATCAGACAGACAGTATGGTTTTCGATCTGAAAGATCCTGTGTATCGAATTTACTCAGTTTCAATGATCGAGCCACAGAGATATTACATGAGAGAGATGGTTGGGTTGACTGCATCTATCTGGACCTAAAAAAGGCTTTCGACAGAGTTCCACATAAGAGGTTGTTCTGGAAACTGGAAAATATTGGAGGGGTGACAGGTAAGCTTCTATCATGGATGAAAAATTTTCTGACTGATAGAAAAATGAGGGCAGTAATCAGAGGCAATGTATCGGAATGGAGAAATGTCACAAGTGGAGTACCACAGGGTTCAGTTCTTGCACCAGTGATGTTTATTGTGTACATAAATGATCTACCAGTTGGTATACAGAATTATATGAACATGTTTGCTGATGATGCTAAGATAATAGGAAGGATAAGAAATTTAGATGATTGTCATGCCCTTCAAGAAGACCTGGACAAAATAAGTAGATGGAGCACCACTTGGCAAATGGAATTTAATGTTAATAAATGTCATGTTATGGAATGTGGAATAGGAGAACATAGACCCCACACAACCTATATATTATGTGAGAAATCTTTAAAGAATTCTGATAAAGAAAGAGATCTAGGGGTGGTTCTAGATAGAAAACTATCACCTGAGGACCACATAAAGAATATTGTGCAAGGAGCCTATGCTATGCTTTCTAACTTCAGAATTGCATTTAATTACATGGATGGCGATATACTAAAGAAATTGTTCATGACTTTTGTTAGGCCAAAGCTAGAATATGCAGCTGTTGTGTGGTGCCCATATCTTAAGAAGCACATCAACAAACTGGAAAAGGTGCAAAGACATGCTACTAAGTGGCTCCCAGAACTGAAGGGTAAGAGCTACGAGGAGAGGTTAGAAGCATTAAACATACCAAAACTAGAAGACAGAAGAAAAAGAGGTGATATGATCACTACATACAAAATAGTAACAGGAATTGATAAAATCGACAGGGAAGATTTCCTGAGACCTGGCACTTCAATAACAAGAGGTCATAGATTTAAACTAGCTAAACACAGATGCCGAAGAAATATAAGAAAATTCACCTTCGCAAATAGAGTGGTAGACGGTTGGAACAAGTTAAGTGAGAAGGTGGTGGAGGCCAAGACCGTCAGTAGTTTCAAAGCGTTATATGACAAAGAGTGCTGGGAAGACGGGACACCACGAGCTTAGCTCTCATCCTGTAACTACACTTAGGTAATTACGATTAGGTAATTACACACTGTAGATTACTTCTGTATGAACATTAGATTTCCTCTTTCATGTTTCAGGTTATATTGGACCCAGTGAGTGATGTTAAGGTGTACCCTTGGTGGCATCCTCGATACTATAAATGTGGATTTAATACAAACACCAGCTAGCATTGACATTATTGGCGTTGCATCAGCTATCACATGTTCATATCACACTCGGCTGTCACACCAACCATAAGATTGGTGTGGTAGGTGGGGGCAACGAGGGTACATGGTTGGTGGGTGTGACGAGGACACGTGGTTGGTGTGGTAGGTGGTTGAGATGAGGTCACGTGGTAGGTGGGTGTGACGAGGACACGTAGCATAAATACCCAACTGTTACAGCAACCACGTGTCCTCATCGTACCCGCCTGCCACGTGTCCTTATCGCACCCGCCTACCACGTGTCCTCATCGCACCCACCTACCACAAGATCGGTGTAGTAAATGGGTGCGACGAGGACATGCGGTTAGTGTGGCGGCTAGGTGTGATGACTTGTGTCCGTATCACACCAAGCAACCACGTGTCCTAGAGGCACCCACCAACCACGTGTCCTCATCGCACCCAGCCACCATCAAGAAAAGTTTGAGTGGTTGTGCTGTGTGCCATTGTAATATTTATTGTCTAATCAATATTGAAATCTTTTCTGAATTTGATTGCATGTGAATGAATTATGTAGGACCCTGTCCTGTATAGTATGGGTTATTACAGTAAATACAGTACATTTGATTGTTGTGGGGTTTCATTCAATCTTCCATGTTTTCCATCAGTTACAGTATGCCAAATATTTTATCTACCATTGTCTGAAAAATTATGTAATATAGTAATTTAAAGTACTCGGTATTTGTTTTCATTTGTGGCAGAGGGATTGAAGAATAGAGGTCAGCCCTTCCTCCAATGCTCACAGATCTCACAGAATTTCTGCCCGAAACGCTGTGCGTACTAGTGGCTTTACAAGAATGTATATACTGTACTATCCAATGTATTCTCACAAACCCAATATACCTTCTTGTATATATATAAATAAATAAATAAAAATAAATCAATATTATATTGTGTAAAGAATACAAATATTGTATATCATTTAGATAATCAAGAACAAGACAAATATACAAGTGAAATGAGGTCTTCCACGTAGCACACCGACAACAACACTATTTATCACTCCAGCAATTCCTGTGATAAATGATTAAAGTGTTTTTCTACTCTATTGTAATGGGAACCCTAATGATTCTTTTCAATAAATTGACTAGTCATCTTTCTCTTGAAGATGTTAATTTAGTATTGAGAATGCCTCTACGTATTGACTTTAAACGCATTTACATGACACTATTTGTATGTTCCGAGCAGGACAGAAATGGTTGGGCATGTTTCCTGTCACCTAGGATTAAATAGGTACCCATGTATTAGCTTGTTGTGGGGATGCATCAGTAGTTTAACCTTGGGATGATTTCAATATAAGCCTAATAAATATATATACACACTGGCTGCCTGTCCCCCCCACAAAATGAATTATTACTGCAATATTACTAAAAGTAACCATTTTATTATTGGGCAATGTAGCTAAACAAGAAAAATTTATTCCATGAGAGACCCTGATTTCTAATTGTATTTACTTTAAATATACAGTACTCATGCAAGATGAGAGAACTATGTTTATTACTAACATTGAGCAATACTATACAGCCCCTGTAGGAAGATATTTTAGTCATATTACATAAAAATATTATAGAATGCAGTACCTCATATACTAACAATGAAATTATAAGTGAAGTTTATTCAATTTCATTGCTGGCAAAGTTGTCATGTCGCCCTTCCGCACTACACTCGTCCACCAAAACTCACACCACCACCACCACCACCTGCAGGCCAGGCTGCAAGAGTAGAACAACTTTTATAACTGACCACCTACACTTCAACCCACATATAGGGAATTGGAGGAGGGGGGGGGTGAAATGTTGTATTTTTAAGAATATATTGTTTGACTCAGTCATTTCAGAATATTTAATAATACAATATTACTGTATTGTTTATATTGAGTGATAAGCCCAAGATATTATCCTCAGCTAGCTGTGATAACAAAATAGGTTTTAATATGTAGAGGACAGTATTTTTAACAAGGAAATTGAATGATACAATTGTTGTTAAGTATGTCATTAAATCATGAGGTGTAATATTGTGTGTGGAAGTCTGCCTATAGCTGTCTTTAATAATAAATTTTGGTATTAAAATATTGCACAAATGTATTTTATGTGTACAAATAAATATAATTTGTTTTTGTGCATTTTATTCCCAGTACAGTAATAGCATAACCCAAAAATATACTTGGGCTTGCATTAGTTGGTCCCAGTTAATCCAATGAATAGAAAGACTTCATAATGAAATGATAAACAATATGTAAAAAGATAAAAATGTTAAGACAGTAGCTAGGTAACAGTGCAATTTTCATAACTGCATATAGGCTTGCAATATATAGCACAGGGTATATCACAATTTCATTAAGTATGCCAGGTAAGTAATTGTCAATAGGAGGCAACCAAGTTTGGAAAGACTATTTAGCACCATCCTTGGTGCACAACATAATAATAATAATAATGATAAAAGTTTTAGATGTCATTAAAAAATTTTATACAAAGAGCAAAAGGACTTAAGATGTCAAAATTATTAGTCGCCAAAGATTTTATAGAGGGATAAGTAACTCAAAGGGACAGTGGTAAGGCAAGATTTCCAATCATCGTGAAAATCAGGGCATACTACAAGGAGACGCACAAGTGGGATATTAAGATTCGGGCCTTTCTTCTATTAAGTGCCCGAGTTAAGTGAGTGTGGCCAAAACAGCCTAGCCATTTTCCACCTATTATGGTGGAAGGAAGGCAAAAAGACACTACATTTAATACCATGCAGTTTGTTATTTGTAAAGTACAACCTAAAGGTTATGAACTGCAGATCGTGAATGACAGGATAGAAATCCTAGTAAGGAAGCTGCTTGCGAAATGGGAATAATATGAACGGACTCCTGCGACCCCATTAGAAGCAACACCAATATGGCTGCGGACTAAACATAATTAAACTTATACCTGCTGAAGATGAGGAAAAAGCCAGTACTTACTGGATTTCAACCACCATGGGATGGGAAAGGTTACACAATTCCAGGGCCATAAAGGCACTGCAGGAGTCAACCACAATAACTAAAGAATGATGGTGCAAAGAAAGTAACTAAGAACATACAGAATTGTTTAAATCTCTGATTTAAGAATGAATCTCTTAGACACACAAGATATTTCAGGAAAAATAATGTAGAAACCATTGCCATCAACAACTCGGCCATGAACGTTGAGAATGGCAGTGAAAATGATAGAGGAATTTCATAACTATATGAGAGGTATCTCTCTCTCCACCACACCGGTCAGGGTCTTGCAAGATAGGAACAAAAGAGAACATACTGCTGATGTGGGTCAAAAGTGAATCCTGTTAACAGGCCATCATAGTAATAAAAGAACAAAATCGATGGAGAACTGGGCTGGCAACAAGTAAAGGCAAGGCACAAATACAAAAAAGGGTGTTGAAAGGACAGTATCAGAGGTAATGCTGAACATGGGAGTGATGGGATACTGGTTTCCACATGTAAACTCTAGACTGGAGAAGAGCAAGGATGAAGATGACATATATGGGACAACAGTCCAGTTTAGACAGGACTAGGGAAGGATGCAAGTAAAGAAGCGTATGTCTGTCTACTTCCCAGGAAGTATGTGAAATGATTGAGTAAGGAAAAGACCTTTGAGTCAGTAGGTAAGACATGGGATGACCAAGATAGATGGGAGTCAAAGATCAGCTCTTAAGAGCCTTGCTCTATCTTTATACACAAAGGTACTCTCAAAGTGAGAAAGCTGGATAAGAAATGATGTGCCATCTAGTAAGTCATAACACATGTCTTCAAATTGGTAGAATTGAACAACATGCTATCAATTGTAAGCTGGAGATGCCACTGAAGGGAGAACTCATCATCGCTTCAGTAAATGGTGAGGTCATTCACAAAAATTGTGGACTTTTTTAATTTTTTAAATATACTGTATCATATTTCAAATTGTTAGCTAAATGTTACTCACTTTGTTCATAAAATGTAAGTTTTATCTAGATTACTACACACCTGTTTCATTCAGCCAGCATTATAATTTGTGCAATTTGTTACAAATAGAGATTGTCATTATCAGAATCAGAAACGATGTGCTATGCTGTTATTGTGACACACTTGTGTAATTAATGTACTCGGAATGTAATTAATTTCTGGGGAAGGCCCTTTGTTGCTCCTTGAATCACACTCATTCACATGGTTACCAACTACTAGGTCACAATCAGCTGCAGAGCTCTGTTTGGCTTACCAGGGACCAGAGTCAGATCCTGGTCCCCCCCTTGCAGAGGTGTAGAAAGCAGGTGACACTGCCACACCACCGGGAAAGCATTCATAAAGTCAGTAAACCAATACGGGCCACTGATGAGAGATCAAAGCCTCAAAACTTCCGAATGAACTACCCAACAATGTAAACTAATTACTAAATCTCTCAAAAGAGGAGGGGGGGGCCAAGAGCTACTGGTTCTTAACAGTTCTTCACACCAGTTCTGTCACTGGTGTGAATGCCATGTAGACGATTATTCTTTCCGGCTCTGGGGTTCTCTCCCTCCACAGAGGGAAAGCAAATTCCCTTTGTGGGGAGAGTAGCACAGACTTCCCTGTGACCTCTCCCGATAAAGTTAAAGTGTATCAGGCAGCTACCATTTTACAGGTTTGTTCTGCCAGCCTTCAGCTGTCTTGGTTGTGTACCCAGTTGGATGGTCCAGAATTATCCCTCATCTTGTTTTTGGGGACTCGGAAGTAATTGGAGGTGTTTATCAATTCCACCCTGGTTCCTTCTGCATCTCCTATTCCATTTTCTTTGGGTGTGGTATGCCTGGATTCTGTTCTTCCAGAATTGCTTCCGGCCCTGAAATATCTAAGGGTTTCAAAGTCAAGCTTAGCTCGGGATGTGGCTCGACCATCTTGGCGAGTTGCTCCTTTCACTTTGGGTGTGGAGGCAGTTGAGCTGCCTTGTGAGAGAATGGTCTCTCAGGACTTTCCCACAGTTGACTTGAGTGGCACATTGCACTGCAGAGTAAACCAAGCGGTGCACAAGGCCTATATCCCTTATCACTGGATGGAAGTCTGGCATGTATGATATCTCTGTATAGCCCACTCACATATCCAGGAACAGTGATCATATGGAGGCTACCATGTGTCCAGTGAGGAATTAGATAGCGTGAATTAAGCAATTATGCCATAACAATGAGAGATGGAGTACACCAGGTTTGAAAGTGTAGGTTATGGCAATGGAGACTCCCACCAGGTACCTGCTTGATGGGGTTCTGGGAGTTGTTCTACTCCCCAAGCCCGGCCCAAGGCCAGGCTTGACTTGTGAGAACTTGGTCCAACAGGCTGTTGCTTGGAGCGGCCTGCAGGTACACATGCACCACAGCCCGGTTGGTTCAGCCCTTCTTGAAGAAAACTATTTATCTAGTTTTTTCTCTAGAAGATGTCAACAGTTGTTGAGATGGAGTAGAGATGCAGTGACCTTCAGTGTCAGCTTCAGCCTTTGTAAAGGGGAAGCCTGACATAGGTGTGACATCAACTTCCTAACCATTATGTATGAGCACATATGATTGGATCTGGCACCTGTGTTGTAATGCTATTGGTCAGTTCATAGACCTGATGGTTGTGCTCCAGAGACCCAAGCAGGCTCCTCCAGGAGCCAGCACTGGCATTTTCATGGGGGAAACATCATACCTAGTTGATGTGTTTCATTCTGTCTAGTGGCCAATAGAAAAGAATGCATTGTTAAAGCTTCTCACCATCAAGTTTCCCCTCTATCTTAATTCAATACACCAGCACTTGCCCCAAATTGCAACTGACTACTGTATGTGGAATGTGAATCTGATCATGTGTGTGTGTGACAAAGCTCTGTAGATTCACCAGAACGAAAGTTCGTGATTCACTTTGTCACGAACAGTGACAAAGTGAGATCAAGATCATCTGTAAGTAGAAGAGCCTGTTAGTGACTCTGTGACTAAGAGTGAACTAAGGAATATTACTGCTGCCTAATTACTTTGCGACTTTACCTCGGACACCTGTCAGGGGTAAAATAACTTGGTCACTACCACACTGTCCAGCAATTTGACTCTCCTGCACATGTACAGCTACCACCAGCACTTGCTTCTCATACCACATAACATCACTGCCTGCCCTACCTACTAAAACCTTATTCGAACCCCAGTTGGAAACAGACCCAACTATAGGATGGGTTAACCCAAGTATCGCGCTTCCAAAAGGGTCGCCCAAGTTGGAAAAGACGAACGCTGAAAGAATATTGTTGAAAACATCTTGATAACTGATTAAACCAAAATTATTTATTAGTCAGAAGAAAGACAGAAACGCGATCTATATGTAAAACCTCTACCAGACAAATATTTTAAGTAAAACCGAAGATATTTGTAGTTGTATAAAAGTGGCAGTTTTCATCGCTCGTCAAACTCGAAAACCGCAGCATTCATCTCAGAACCATGCCTATTTCACGCAGATTCCTTAATAAACGTAAGAGTTTTATATGTCACAAGAAAGACAGATATATAAGCTTCGTTCTAAATACCTTACCATGGGCATATTTAAATTTAAAGCGAAGATACGTGTACTTTTATAATAGCCGAGCTCCGACTCCGGACAGATCGATCGACGGAGCAACTCTCTCTCAGAACAATGCTTATTTCACGTAAATTTGTAAATAATCGTAAATTTTTTATATGCCTCAAGAAAGATAGGAATATAAGGCTCATTTTAAACACTTTATCATAGACATAATTAAAGTTCTAATGAAGATTCATGTATTTTAATAATCGCCGAGCTCCGACCCCCGCATAGACTGAGCGACAGAGCAACTCTCTCAGAAGAATGTTTATTTTACGTAAATTCGTTAATAAACACAAATGTTTTACACGTCTTAAGAAAGATAGAAATATAAGCTTTATTTTAAATACATTACATTAGACATATTTAAAGCTCAAGTGAAGATATATATGTTTTTATAGTGGCGTTCAGTAGCTTTTCGGTCATGGAGTGCAGACGCCTACGCACTTGCCAATATGTTGTGTAATTAACAAAGATACGCTAATAAAGCCTAAAATATTACATGCCTCCAGAAAGACAGAGCTATAATCGTTATTGTGAGTGCATCAAAGGAAATATATCATGTTG